TCTTCTCCTACTCCTCCTGTTCGTTCCCATGAGCCCCCTTCCCTGACCAATCCCCCCACTCTCCCCAGCACCTCCTATCGCAGAGCTCTTCCCTTTGTGGTTCTGACGGACTAGCAGCATGGGCAACGTGAAAGTTCTCTCGCAAGCACTCTTCTCAGAGAGCCCCTTGTCCGTCGGCGATACCGTAAGGCCCGGAACCTGCTTCCTTCCAACCTCTTGTCCTGTGCTGTGCTGTGCTGTGCTGTGCTGTGCTGTGCTGTGCTGTGCTGTGCTGTTCTGTTCTGTCCTGTTCTGTCCTGTCGTTCCCTCTCTTCCTTCCCCACCCCACCCCTCTCCTCCTCTCCTCCCCCACCTGCCTTCCCCCTCCCTCTCGTTCGATGTCCTCCCCTCCCCTCTTCTCCACTTCTTCTTGTCGCTCCCCTCCTCCCCCGCCCCACCTGCTCTTGTCTGCCCTCCCTCGCTCACCTTCACAGCTGCTGCTGTCCTCTCGCATCTCTCACCTCTTGTGCTCTAGATCATCGCAGTCAACGACATCCCCGTTGAGGCGCTTGCTGTCGAGGTGTGTAGCCCCTTCCTGCTCCTGCTCCTTCCCCTTCACCTGCTCCTCTTCTTGTCTCTTTCGCTCTCTTCCACTCATTTCTCTTGCAGGAACTCCGCCTACTCGTCAAGGGACCAGCGAGCAGCTTGGTACCTCCTGTCCTGTCCTGTCCTGTCCTGTCCTCAACTTTCCCCCTCCCTCCCTTCCTTCTTTGCTTCCTTTCTTCTCTCTCCTCTCCTTTGTTTCGTTGCCCCCCTCTCGTTCCTCGTTCTCTGCTTAATTCTTTTCCTATCCTTCTTCCTCACATGCACCGGTAGGTTCAGCTCACAGTGCAGTCGACGAGGTGGTGGGACGCGTCAAACAACAAGGTGAGCAAACGAGGGGCGGCAAGTGCAGCTGACGCCTAGCAGGTGATTGTGGAGAGGAGGACGCAGCAGCAGCAGCAGTAGGAGGAGCTAAGCTATAGCATCCACGTGAAAGAGTCCAAGCAAGAAATTTTCTCAAAATCGACTGGAATAATCGAATAGAACAACACGCTCCTACTCCTAGGACCTCCTCTGCCTTTAGGGGACCGAGTTCGGGGGAAAGGCCTTGCCAGCCGCGTCCTCTGGCAGCTTCTTGTGCCTGCCGTCACAGAAGGGAGGGTTGGCCGTCTGCTTGCACTGGCACAGTTTTCGCTGCTCGGTTGCCGTTGCAGTGTAGGCCATGGGCTTGAACGCAGTGCCTTGGTGAGAGCCATCGCAGAACGGCTGCTTTTTGGAACGCCCGCAGGTGCACCAGTAGTAGGTCTTCCCCTCCTCAAGGTCCACTGGCACCGAGGACCTCATCGCACAGATGACCTTGTCCGCATCTTCGATCTCTGCCATGCTGCCGTGCAAACCAGCGTCAGCGCTCCTTCGAGCTCAGGGATTCCCGAGCTGATTCGCAAGACTGCGCTCGAAAGTCTATTCGTCTTGATACATTGGAGCTCTTTGTGACAATCTTCTTCCCTCTCCTTCTCTCTTCATACTCGACAAGCTGCCAAGGTTCGATTCAAAATCTGTATCATCCTATACTTTGGGCATTGCCCTCTAAATTTCCTCGTTATCGAATCTTTGCCCTCCCCTTCATCAAAGTCTTGAGTCCTTCCTCTTCTCCATACTTTACTCCTCCCCTTGCTATCAATCCCTTCACACAAACTCCTTACCACCTCTTCTACTGTCTCCTACCCCCCCCCCCCTCCCCCCCCCCCCTCACCGACGCAACAGCCCCCCACTTCTTCCTCCCTCTGCCTCTGCTGTCTCTTCCCTCCTTTTCTGATCCTGTTTCTTCTTCCTCCTCCTCCTCCCTCCTCTGCTCCGCCCATGTTCCGACCCTCCATTCCTCTGCCTTGAAGCCAGGGTCTCGGCTTAACGAAGAGGGGGCCAACAACACGGGGTGGGGGTGGTTGTCTTATAGGTACCCTACCAACCTTAGAAGGGTATTCACAACTCAAAGTGACGGTAGGGGTTCAAACATTGAAGCTGTTTCCAGGAGGGTAGTCCATATTTCAAGCGCCGAGGGTAGGGGTAGTGATCCCTCGATCTCATGGGGTGATAATTTGGAAAACTAGGGGTCCTGAACTTGCAGTTCAGGACCTAAACTTCTATGACGGGGGTGATTAAACCTATGAAATGGCTGAAGTATGGGGGTGGGGTCGGAGATTGGTGTAGAACAGTAGGGTGATATTGGTTGTAGAGGGGTGGGGTGATCTTGCCATTAGAGGGGTGGGGTGATATTGGTACCGGAGGGGTGGGGTAAAAGCGGGGGACACGCAACCTGAATTACGTCTCTTGGAACGGCCGGCTTACTGACTCAGGCCGCCGGACTCGGGCCGGGTAGTACGTAGTACGGACGGTGGCGCCGGACTCGGTCCGCCGGGCCCGCCGAGCCTGCCCCCCTGCCCAGCCCGGCGCAGCCCGGGTCGGCGGCCTGCGGCGGCGCGGGCGGCGGGCGGCGGGCCCCCGGCCGCTGACCGTCTCGCGGCGCGCCGCTGCCGCTGGTAGCGGCCGACCGATCATCGGATCGTACCGTACCGACGTCGGCGGGCCCGGCGGGGGCCACGGGCCTCAGACTCTGCCTGCCAGGCTGCCCGGCTGGATCCGATCCGAGACTTATATATATATAACAGTCTTTACTCAAAGTTAAGTTAACAGTACTACGGTAAACCGCCAGGCGGGCTCCGACCACACGTCGGTAAACCCCGACCTTGCGTCGCCTTGCGGCCCGGAAGTTGACTTTTATTACATTCACTTTTATGTCCAGTAAAGTGGTTATGTGAGGGGAGGAGGGTAACGACACCTCATGACACGATTCCGGGAACTGCATGACAAGAAATAAGTGGAAGCGAGCCAAAATGTCAGTGCTGAAATGGAGGCAATTTGAATACAATATGCTTATTGAGTCAAAATATATGAAGTTTGTAAATGTTTGCAGATAAAAATATAAAATAAAGTCAATTCCGTGAAAACATGAAAATGATACGGCCTTGCAAAGAAAACCAAAAAAATGGAAAAAAAAACGAACGCGCGGGGGCCGTGACTTTGGCGTGACTTTTAGCCGGAAACATTTTTAAAGGGCTCGATTCGGAGATGTAACGTGACTGAGATACAGTAACGTGATCATGGGGTTTGAACTAATGTAACCAGGCACGAGGGCAGGGAACGGAAGGGACTTGGCAGACCACGGGCAGGAAGCGAGAGGGAGAGAAAGAGCACTGGTTGAAGGAAAGAGGATAGAGCAAGAGGTTCAAAGGGGTCAAAACCTGCCTCAAAAGTCTGTGCACACTAGTGAGCTTTCCTCTTGCTCTTGAAAACGGAAGAGCATCTCAAGTATTACGAGGCTCCAGTTCGATTGTATACCCGGCTGCATGGGATCAAGCAACATGTCACAGCTTCAACCTTCACCGCTCTGCCCATCGATGAAGATTTGCCCAAGGGTTCAGATTTTCCCTCGTAGAAAAAATGGGCAGGAAAAGAAGGCTTCTGCTATTGTCTTGGTCCAAGAGGATATCACAAGATTGCACCGCATGAGACAGGCAGACGCTGCCAAGTACCTGGTGAGTTCAAGTCCTGATCAAAATCTTCTTGCCTGACTTGCATGCAGGGAATTTCTCTCTCAGCGCTGAAGAATGCCTGCAGAAGGCTGGGAGTGCCACACTGGCCAAGTGAAGTGGGATCATTGCCCTGTGTTGACTCGGATCACGAGTCGGCTCATGTTCGGGCTGGTTCCGAAGTTGTGGCGAACCCGGACCCAAGGGATAGAAGGATCATGGAAGATGATGTGAACCTTGCCACGAAACAAGAGACATTTGCTATCGCCGCTGAAGCAGAGAAAGTGAATGTTGATATGCTACATGATGAAATGCATCTGGATACCGACATTGGGCTTGGTTCTAGGCGACAGGACGAAATTCATGGTGACCTCTCGCATCTCCCATCAACGGACGCGAATGTTGCAGAGCAAATCTTTGGGTATCATGATTGCATCCCTGTCTCCCCCTTTTATGTCGATTGGTTTCTCAAGTTTTCAGGGGTCTAATGGTTTGGGGATGTAGTGTTGTTTTCATTTGCTCTGAGTTGTTTGAATCAATTTTTTGATTGTCTTTAATGCCAATAAAGCTAAGATATTTACAGCCTTGCTGATAACCGCATTGTTTGCTCTGCGATGAACAGAGAAGCGAAATGTGCACTTCATAGATTCCCAAACCTCTCGCAGCTTCCATTTTTGGAGGTGTGGTCATAGACGGGAGGGTCCTGAATATCTGGTCATCGAGGGGGTAGGGGTACTTGAGGCTAGTCATGAAATGAGGCAACGGCGTGTCATGATCATTGCACGTTCTGAATTCCCAGGTGCTAAAGCGAAGGGGTTCTAGCGAGGGGATGGGGCGGGAGGGGTACTCGTTGCAAGGATGGCTTTTGAGATATCATTGCACGTTCTGAATTCCCAGGTGCTAAAGCGAAGGGGTCCTAGCGAGGGGATGGGGCGGGAGGGGTACTCGTTGCAAGGATGGCTTTTGAGATATCAGTGGGGAATTTCCGAGACTGTTGAAAGGTGTAACAAGGGGTAGTGTACCCGTTCTGTACAAGAGTTGTTGTTTGTCCTGTGTTGAGGGGGTGGTGTACATACATTTTCCAATTATGAGGGGGTGGTGTACATATGTGGTTGGGGGGCGTAGGAGGTCAAGTCCGATAGGGAGGTGGGGTGGTGGGTGCACGACAACCATCGGTAAAATCCGAGCAACGAAGTAGTCTCGCCTGCAACCCCTTGGCAACAAGTGTTGATTACCCCCCTTTAATCCCAGTGATTAGGGTAGGGGTGGCCATCCGAGGTCACAGTACTTGCCATGATCGAATGCTCTGGATGCCGCCGTTACAGGGAGACTTTCCTGTAACGACCGAGTAACGACTGTTTTCTAAAGTGCTTCTTTCTATGGATGCAGATTTCGAAGAAGTCAACGAGGTGGAGTAAAACGGTCACATTGAAAGTCACGTTACCTACCTGGCAGACGGTCACGAGACATGCAGGGGTGCGAGGGAGGAGGCGCTGCAGGGAAGGCGCGGGTGGGGGAGGGGTGGGGAGAGAGGAGGTAGGAGGGTTTAGAAGCACTAGGCAAATGGAACGGGATAGTCTTCGTTCCCATGCTCTCCTTGAACCGCAAGGCTTTTGATAACCAACGATGATGAGAAGAAAACATTGTGATACTGAATGTCAGAGGGTTGAGTGTTCGTCTTGATGAGTTGGTATTTGTGGTATAGGCTTGTGATCTCGTAATGTAACGGAAACGATGTTTTCAATACGTGTGCGAGGAGCCCTTTGACATCCTGGCCGATCGCAGAGCGATTATCGCTCTGTTGTAACAACCGAGGGACAGGGTTTTGTTAGAGTTTCATGATGCAAGATTCACGGGCCTCTTTTGTGGTTTGCTTTGTTGTACACAGCACGATTTTATGCAGTTCTGCAGTTGCAGGCGGAAAAGATTTCCCTGGAACTCGTGTGACAGCAGATCAAGCTGTTCGTTCTCTAACTAGCCCAGTGAAAGCCTGGAAGTAAACATGTCAAGGTCGCTACTCCTCTACACCTCCCTCACCTCCGACTCCTCTACACCTCCCTCACCTCCGACTCCTCTACACCTCCCTCACCTCCTACTCCTCTACACCTCCCTCACCTCCTACTCCTCTACTCCTCCCTCACCTCCTACTCCTCTACACCTCCCTCACCTCCTACTCCTCTACTCCTCCCTCACCTCCTACTCCTCTACACCTCCCTCACCTTCTACTCCTCTACTCCTCCCTCACCTTCTACTCCTCTACTCCTCCCTCACCTCCTACTCCTCTACACCTCCCTCACCTCCTACTCCTCTGCTCCTCCCTCACCTCCTACTCCTCCCTCACCTCCCTCACCTCCTACTCCTCTACACCTCCCTCACCTCCTACTCCTCTACACCTCCCTCACCTCCTACTCCTCTACTCCTCCCTCACCTCCTACTCCTCCCTCACCTCCCTCACCTCCTACTCCTCTACACCTCCCTCACCTCCTACTCCTCTACACCTCCCTCACCTCCTACTCCTCTACTCCTCCCTCACCTCCTACTCCTCTACTCCTCCCTCACCTCCGACGCAGCGCCTCCTATGACCGTCAGGTTTTCAAGCTTGAAGAATGCTTTCTGTGTCCAGAGGGATGCGAGGTGAGAAGAAATCCTCCGCACAAGCACGTTTTATAAGTTTGCTGCTCACCTTCCCATCCTCGTCCAATCTGACTGCAAATCTCTGCCGAGACTCTGTTGCTACATGTCAGCGCATGCAAGGATCAGAGAGGAACAAACCGTCGTATTTCAGCACGGTCCCCTTCATCCCATTGTACTGCACACTCTACAGCACACATGAAGAGATCAGCTGAACTAGGGAAGACTGGCAGTTTCACCTTGAGTCCTTGTAGAGTCACTCGCCTGCCCTTGAGATGCTGGGTAGGGGGCAGTGAGCTTGATATGTATGCGCGCTGTTGTTGCTGCCTACCTGCTCAACCTCTCCTCTCGTCGACGAGCTGTGCGTGTGAGTTTCATCTCGATGCACATCTGGAGATTCTCTCAGCCAGCAATCAACATCATCGGGGAACACGAGAGGATGAAGATGCTTCTTCTACTTACTTGCTTGCACGTCATCCCCTCGATCCTTTGATAAACAATCAAAGCAACTTGATCACTTACTCGCAGGTTGAAGAGATGTATGGTTGCTCACGCTCGTAGTGATGTTGGCCCTCCGAGCTAGCAGCGATTTCTTCACTCTCTGCGTCATAGTTGGAGGCACTTGACCTCGTAGCAATCAGCTTACCTCAGGGTCGGCGAGGAAGAAAACGTTCCCGCGTTTCTCGTACACGGACTGCAGGGCAGCAAGCAGGCAATCACAGCATTTTTGTCAGCCTCGCCATGCCGGTTGCGCATCAGGGGGCTGACCTTGCCTTGACGCAGCTGGTTGATCTCGTCTATAGCCACAGCGATAGCCTGCAGGCTCCGGTCCTTTGATCCTGAGACGAATCCATAAGACTTGTACAGTCCGCTTGCTCCCTCCCTGCCTCCTGCCTCCTGCCTCCTGCCTCCTGCCTCCTGCCTCCTGCCTCCTGCCTCCTGCCTCCTGCCTCCTGCCTCCTCCTGCCTTCTCTTCCTGCCTGCTTCCTCCTCCCTCCTCCCTCCTCTCTGCTGCCTCCCTCCTGTTTCATGCTCCCTCCAGCTTGCTGCCTGCTTCCTCTGCTCTTGTCGTTTCAGCTGCTCCAACCTCCCTGCCCTCTCTCGTAGGCCTCACCTCCATGCGACATCGCGCTGTAACGGCTCGAAACGGCCCCGATAATCGCAGGGAGAGGGAGGGAGGGAGGGAGGAGTGAGATATGAGGATGAGGGTATGAAGGCGTAGAAGCAGAGAGACACAAAGAGAGTTTGTGTCGAAAGACGATCAAAGAAGAAGCGAGGAGGACGAGTTGACTGACATCAGACAAGGCGGGAGGAGAATCTCTTGTGTGCTAATCTTCTCGTAGATGTTTTGAGTGAGCATGTCAGCCTCTTGGGGGGCTTGGTCAGCCATCAGGACGGCAGTCCTCCCTTCCTTGCGATCTCGTCCGCCGTTCCGATCTCTCTCCGGAGGCATGTCTTTCTCCCAGGAGCTAGAGCACGCCATGAAGAGGAAGAATGTCAAGTACTTCAACTGGCTGATCGCAAAGTACGCCGAGGCCGCTGCTGTCCATCGCTGCAACCGGCTGTTGCAGGCCATGGCCGAGGTCCAGGTAAAGCCCAATGAGCATTCCTGGGGTGGGCTGATCAACGGCTACATGAGGATGGGGGATGTGGAGGGAGGGCTGAGGAAGGTAAGAGAGTACCTGACGGGAGGGGGAGAGCTCAATACCGTCCTCGGCACGAGCATCATCAAGGGACTTGTGGGAGCTGGGAGGATGGAGGAGGCGACTAGGTTCCTGGAGGAGATGAAGGCGATGAGGGTTCCTCCCAACGATCGGACGTTGAAGACGCTCCTGCGCGGGTGCCTGCGATGGGGGAGGGGAGGGGAGGCAGAGAGCATCTACGAGGAGATGAGGGCGCAAGGGATGCAAGACCAGGTCTCTGACGCGCTAATGATCCGTATCCGCTGCCAGGATGGACGACTTGAAGAGGCTCTCAGTCAGCTTCGAGGCCTCACAGGACCAGCGCCGCTCTCGAGGCTGGCGGTTGGGCACATGCTCTTGATGGAGGGCCGAGACGGTGAGGCTCTGGAGCAGGCGGCGAGGGCGATGGAGGAGATTGGAGGCGCCGGAGCAGCAGCGGTGGATGAGATTTCAAAGTTGAAGATCAAGACGGATGCAGAATTCATCCAGCGGATTGTGGAGGAGAGGAAGCAGGGGAGGCGTGACGAGCAAAGTTTGCGGCCCAGCATGCAAGATCTGTTTCTGAGCTCGTCGAGCAACGTCGACAAGGGGAACCTGAAGACAGGACTGTCGAAACTCCTGCGTGCCGTGGGGCCGGACAAGCCTCTGCATGTCGAGCTCTGCGCTGGGAGCGGCGAGTGGGTGTTGGATCGAGCAGGTGTTGAGGACGCGAACTGGGTGGCGGTGGAGTATCGGTACGACAGAGCGCACGAGATCTTGACGAGGAGGAGTCTGTTGGGGTTGAACAACCTGGTCGTGTTGAACTTGGATGCAGCTCTTGTATGCTCTGACCTCCTTCGACCCGCATCTGTCAGGTCCATGTTTCTTCGCTTCCCCGAGCCGATGGGAGCAGGCAGTGTTTTCTTCAGTCCCTCCTTCCTCCGTGCTGTTCACAAGAACTTGGAGCCGAACGGAACGTTCAACATCGTGACAGACGACAGGCAAGGATTTGCCGACATGCTGCTGCTGCTGCTGCTGCTGCTGCTGCTGCCCTCGTTCCCTCCCTGTCTTCCTAATCTATATTATCTCTTTCGTCCTCCTCTGCTCCGTGGGCCTCATCCTGCCGTCTTTCTTCTGACTTTCGGGGAGCAGCGACCTTCGGGACTCGTACCTCAAAGTCGTCAAGTCTTGTCCTCAGCTCTTCAAGGCTCGGAGCACAGCTCGGAGGGAGGGGGCGAAAAAGGTGGTGAGGCTGTTTACTTGAGCTCAGGGCCTGAGAACACAACAGGGGGAGGGAGCTGTGTCCTACTTCGACCAGCTGTGGAGGAGCAGGGGGTTCCAGGAGCGCTACTTTATAGAGCTCGGAAAGGTCCCCAGAAATGTCTGAGCTACGAAAGGTCCCGAGTAAAGACCGAGGCAGTTCAAGAGGCCTCTGTGGCTGTGGTGAAAACTTCTGTGAGAGGGTTCTGCTCCACTACCTCCTTCATCAGCTTCCCCACCATCTCCGCGTAGTCACGTCCCCCCGCCTTACCCGCCTCCTTAGTCCCTCCCCCCTTCAGCTCCTTGCCACGGCGCAGGGGGGAGGTTCTGGTGGAGGCGACGAGGAGGGAGATGATTCGGCCGGCCAGCGAGCTACAACCAGCGCGTGAGAGAGGAAGAGTAGAGTGCGAGGAGCTTACAGGATCTGTCGCTGATATCGTGCGACGAACAAGAACAGGAGAAGAGTGAGAGAGGCAACAAGCACCTTCTCCTTGTGGTGCTCCAGCGCAATCTTCGTGCTGGTGAATTTCATCCTGTGCAGCCAGACAAGTCAAACCCTGTCGCAAGCTCGGCAATGGTTGACAAGTTCGTCATGGGCGTCACCTGGCGCTGTCGAGCAGGGCAAGGCATTGTTTCTTCGCATTTGCAAAGAGGGGAGGATGGTACGACGAGACTTTCATCTTCTCCTTAGTCGCCTGATGTTGAACCCCATCCTTGAACACCTTGAACTCAAACTTCCCATGAGGCAGCTGCAGCGTCCTTGTGAACTCTCCCTTGTCGTTCTTCTCCATCCTGTGCTTCCTCCTCCACCCGCTCCACGATCCCACCAGCACGACGTTCTTGACGTCTTCATCCCCAACGCTGCGAGGCAGCACAAAGGTCACGTTGGAGAGCATCTCCTGCTGTGCTGTGTGAGGGGTCGAGGCTCTCAGCCTCACTCGTGACTCCTCGACCGGAAGCGCTGAAGTTTGACATGTCAAGACCAGAAGAGCAGCAGCGATCACTTCGCCGCCATGGCAGAAGCTCATGGTCATTCCTGCTGTACGCTTGCGGAGTTTACTTTTTCCCGTGACCCTGCGCGGTTTTAGTCATTCAGAACCACCTGACCTCTCCTTGTTGTGATACATGAAATATGTCAAGAGCAATCGTATTCCACTCTCGCTTTCTCTCCCTATGATGTTTTCTTTCTTTCTTTCGTGCTGTTTGGAATTGCGGTAGTTTTTGGCATAAGTGACTTTTTTCCTGCCTCCATCTCCTCCACTCTTTCCCGCTCTCTCCACTCAGGTCATCCTCCGAAGCAACGCTTGCTCAGCTCTTTCTCCCTGTCTTAGTGAACGACCATTGCCGTATTGACGCGTGTATTGACGTATTTTATCAGAGGATGGGTTTCAACAACCAATTCCTCCGCCTCCTCAACCTCCTGCTCCTGACTTTTCCTTTTTACGTTTTCCTCCCATCTCTTCGCAGCACCTCAGGGTCTGACTTCCCTTAATCTCTCCTCCTGCTTCTCCGACTTGCTCTCTAGGTTTCTGTCCTCCTACCTTACCTCTCATCCTGCCTCGCACATCCCTTCCTGCCTTGCATCCCTCTCGCCGCGCGTATTTCTTCGCTTCACCTAGTCTCCTTCTGTCGCTATACTCATCTGATCCCCTCCTATCTCACTTTCTCTAGCTTCTCAGGCCCTTCTCTCCTCTGTCCCGCTTCTCTTCCTCGCTCTCCCTCTCATGTTGCCGCCCATCTAGTCTACATGGCGGGAGAATCGGGCCGGCTCACTGATGATGAACCGTTACTGGCACTGCAGCCTCGGGTCGGACCGGGGCCGGCGGAGGGGCCCGCCCGGCGGGCTCGCCTCAGCCGGCGGCTGTCGCGTAGGCAAGTTGCCACAAGTTACTGTCAGGTTGGCACTGAAGCTCAGCCGGCTAGTGATCAGTAGACCGTACGGTGACCGTGATGTTTACTGTACTATGATCACAACAAGAGCTTGACGAGCCTAACACATCGTTCTCGCTCTCTAATCGTACAAAACTCAGCAGGGAAAGTCTTGGGTAGACATCCCAGCAAAAAACCTCGTGACTCCACAACAACGCACAGGGTTCACTGTAAAGCCCGTACGTGAAGCCTCACTTTGCGGTATCACTGCTGGTGACTTGGAAGGCATCCTCCAGCCTCAGCTACCAGAAGAGCTCTAAGTGCCGCTGGCTCATGCTGCAGAAGCCCCTGATGCGGTGCGGGTAAGAAACTGAGAAGAGGTGGGAGATGGATGTAAAGGGGGGGGACAGTTACCTCGTAGAAAGAGAATTTCTCCAGCGCCTCCTTGAGAACTTTAAGTCTCTTCGAGACGTGGTCACTCCCTCCCACAAGCTCTTCCATCTTCTGTCCCGCATTCTTGTCATTGTCCGGCTTGGTTGCTTGGTTGCTCTTCAACTGCCCCGTGCCGCTAGGAATCTGCAAAGGCAGCGATGGGTTCAACATGTTACAGCTTCCTTGCTCGTGACCTATGAACGTTGTCAGCGGGATAATTCAAGACCAATCTTCCTCTTCCTCACCCTGCACGATAGTAGAGTTTGGAGTTTCCGCATGCGAGTGTTCGTCGTCCGACTGCCCTGTGACCGAAGGGTTCGAGTGCGCCAACTCTTCCATGTTCAACGTGCTCGACAGAAGGCAGGGAGCTGATGCACTGATCGAGTTGCATAAGTCAAAGGGGAAAAGTGGCCGAGAGCGTCTCATACCTGTGCCTGAGTGTTGGCATCACTGACGAAACGTCCACATTCTGTCCAAGATCGGAGGACGAGCTAGATCGCTGCGAGGAATAGCGTGAGATCCTTACGCCAACGTCCTCTTCACATCCTGAAACTCACCGCCAGTGCAGGTGCCGACGAGATAAGAGTCGAGTTTATTTTCCTGCTACACACAGTCAAACATTTGAAACTAGCACTAGAGTTACCAATACCTTCGCCGAAAGTTTGTAGTCATCGCATTCATGGTCGACAAAATAGATACAAAGTAGGAGGGCTTGAGTTCAACTTTCCCATGAGTGAGACGACAAGCATCACATACTCTGACTGGTCGAGCTAGCGACGCTCTCCCACCATTCGAGGGCAGAAGGTTTATCTGCGAGGAAAGGAGTTAAAGAGTGACAGGACAGGAAGCAGACTTACAGTGCCACGGGAGCACTGCTGGCAGACCACTCTCCCGCACACTCTGCAGTGATGCCTCCCGCTCACTCCGATCGTCCACTTGTTGAACGTCGAGCTGCATGACGCAATCGAGCAGCGATCAGCCTCGCCATCAGGCTGCCAGAGGTGACGAGGAATCTGTCTTCTCGAGCGTGTACTGGGGGAGTCAGGAGTGGTAGAAGATTGGGGTTCCATAACAGCGGTTTCCATGCTCATTGTCAACTCTTCGCAGTGCACTTGATCACTGGGGGATGAGCATAAAATTTCTAGTCCTCCTGTAGTGCATCGTCAATCAGAAGCAACGGTAAGGTTCGTGGGAAAGCACAGGAGCATCGTTGGACATTTCGAAAGCTAAGCTTGCTCTCACAACAATCTATCATAAGGCAAGCAAGGTAGTATCTAGTAACCCTGGCAAACAAGGCAGTATCTAGTAACCCTGGCAAACAAGGAAGTATCTAGTAACCCTGGCCTATTTGTGGAGAAAGCAGCAGGTAGCAAAGCATTGGCCAAAAATACTCGAGCGAGAAGGAAAAAACGTAGAGGCCCAGAAGCAAACGAGACACAGGTAAGGATGCGCTGATCAAGTTGAAACACATTCATCGACAAAGCAAGAAAAATGGAAAAGCTGATTCAAAAATGGTGAATGGCGAGGTTCAAGATAGCGGATGAATTCGACGTCGAACAGCAGCGAGCAACAACATGAGCCAGGGCCATGGTGTGCAGGTGGAGGAGGGAGGAGATAACGTGGAGATCAACGAGTGGGGATGAGCACGAAGGAGGAAGGAGGGAGAGGAGGAGGAAAATGCGCAGCAACTGAAAGTTCATGTCGCTAGGGAGAACGAGGTAATGATGATGGGAGAGGAGAGATGAATCCATTCGCTGTACACGTCACGGGTGGGTGGGTACTATTACCCTCGTGTCCCCCAGGATGTACAGGAGAAAGTAGGGTAGTGGTTACTACCCCCACCCATTAGAAATTTTGCATGCAATAACATTTTAGACAATAGTACCACGACCCTTGTCTCTCTATCAAGAGTTTTTAACAAAGTTTTTTAAAAAATCGAAAACAATCAATTTAGTGTATTTTCTTTACAAGAAATAAACAAATCAATTTTAAACCCGATCTGCTCGGTATCATGACCAAAACGATGAGCTAATGCAACGTTTAAACTGTGTACCGCAGCGAATGGAATGTCTGTAAAGTTGGCGTGATCGGACTTATTTCTTTTTGAGCAGTTCATGCATTCCCGTGTCTCAAATCTCTCCATTTTTACCTTTCAGGCTCTCTTACCAGTTACCATCCGCCAACCTGAATTGTGCCAGTTGCTCTAAGAGCTTGAAGGGCTTGAACTACAGTAATTCACGGGGGTGGGTAGTTTAATTGGGAGTATAGCAGGGGCGTGCCATGCTTTACTATTCTCTCAATTGAGAATCAGCAGACCACGAAGCAGGGGCAATTGTTCCTTGCTCATGTTGGGAACCATGGTGTGATATGACGGGGTAGTGTTACTGTGGGGTTGATGTAGGGTGGTACCACTTACAAGAATGTAGACACTGCTCTAGGAACCTACTAGGAATCTCCAGGTTCCTAGGACCTTTCAACACGACGAGCGGACCCATCGCATTAATAGTATAAATTATTGTAAATAAAAATTATTTAAAGCTCTTTTTTTCTTGACCAAAAAAAGGATTTTTGCCAGAGGGTTCCATGTCGTAGGGTATGTAGGACGTAAGAGATACGCTGCCTTGGGGGTCATATCACTCCTAGCACCTCCCTACGATTCCTCACAATTTTTGTATAGCCTTTTTCTCGTTGGAGTGAGTCGTGGTAGGGTAGTGAAATTTGGTCTGGGTAGGGGTGATGAGAAAAGGGTGGTTGAGCTCGGAATTACGATGGGGAAATGTAGGGTGGGGTTAGTGTCAATTCGATGGGTGGGGTAATGTTGAATTGAGATCCTATGGTGGGGGTGAGGACCTAGCTACAGGGAGTTTTTTTATGTTGGCGAGGACAGTGTAACATTTCCATAGGTCCTTGGACGCCAACTTGAAATGGAGACTGACGTTGTTGTGAGCGCTGTGAGAGGACGCATTTTAAAACCAAAACGGAAGATTTCAAATTAAAAATCTATGAGTTGAATAATAGTAAGGAGATTTCAAAACCAACAGCACCTTTCAATTCTCCATGTTGTCCTACGGATCGATTCAAAGAAACACCGTTTGGCGGCCACCATCATACAAAAGCGACAGGACCGTTACAAAACCGTTGGAATTTAACCGTTGGGACTGGACTAGAATAACCGTCCGACTCTCCCAGTCCTGGCATCCCGCCGGGGCCCGTGTCGGGCCGCCCGGCGCCCGGCCGGGCCGGGCCTTGCTCGTCACTCTCACTGATCGGACTACTAAGTGTTGCCGACTCCGTTGCAAATCGGAAGTTCCATTGAAGAGTGACTACTTGACTACTGTGCCACAGCAAAAGCCCAGGGCCAGCCTGTTCTATATTATCTACTGTACTTCGGAACGGGAGTCCGCGTTTCGGAGGCTAATTTCCCACGGTCACTGAGTCAGTCACCCGATCGGATCGGATTGCCGAATCGTTGGCGGCAGCCATGCCGGAAGCGCGTCGGTTGTTCGCCGTCTCCAGCGCCGCAGACAAGCTGAGACAGAGGAGTCAGAGGCTGAGGGGACGCCGGGTACCCGGTGAGTGACAAACAAGGGAAAGGAGGGAAAGGAGGTCTCGAAGTTCCGAAGTTCCGCACCTGGGACTGAGACCTGGCGAAGCCTTGATCGCTTTCTTGAGCTTTCTGCTGAAGGACGACAGGAGCTCAGGCGAGGCTAGCTCCAACAGCAGCTGGATCAGAGCTAGGGAGCCTGCAGAGCTGAGGACAGGAAGAGCTCTCACTGAGTTGCCCAGCAGAGGTCGAGCTGGTTTAGCTTCAAGTTGAGGACAAGACTCCCCCGTCCTTTTCGCAGCAATTCCAAGAAGCCCGTGATAAGACCAGTGCTGTATGGACGACACGCTTGCCTGCTGCATGTTAGAAGGTGTATGGAGAAAGAGAGGGGCGTGAGGGAGTGAGGGAGTGAGGGAGTGAGGGAGTGAGGGAGCGTTGTGGGACCTTCAGAACAAGTCAAGGGTAGCGACCTGAGGGGAGAGAGGTTTCCCGGCCGGGGAGAGCAGAACAGGAGAGTAGGTCATGATGTCACCGCCCTGGAGCAGAGCTGAGAATACCTTGTTGATCCTGCTGGAAGTCTTGGAAAGCAGAGATTGGTCCTTGATGACTTTGATACATACAATGATGTCAAACTCTTGTTGGGCGTTCGATCCATTCCTAGTCGCTTCGTCTCCCCTTGCACTAAGAGACATGCACGACTGCTCACAATGACAGGGCTGAGAGTAGACTAGGTCCGCAAGCTTCACCGCAGACATCTCATCATCCTGAGCCCCTGCTTCTGTGCTGCAGCAACCAACCTCCACCATGTCCAAGACGACTAAACAGGACAACTCGTGATGCTCCATGATCTCTCTTATAGCTTTCTTCATCTTTCCCTTTTGCACGCTTACAGAAATACCCGGAAGAAGCTCATCAGACCTGGTGGACTGGCAGGACCTTGTCAGATGATTCGGAGGAACAAGAGTTTGTCTGCCTGCAGCGAATCTTTGAGGATGGACAGGATCTGATGCTCCGATGGAGCCGCCTTGTGTTGGGAAGCAAGATGCCGCACTAAAGTCTGATCTGGTGGAGCGTCAGAAGAAAAGTCGAGGAGTCGAGAGGAAGGACAGACAAAAGAGAAAGGAAATATGCCGAGGAAGAGGAGAAGAAGGATAAGCGAATCGAACGAGGAGCAGGAGGAAAGGAGAGTTAGGAGGCAAGCGAGAAGCGAAGGAAGAGCAGTGGACGACAAGTGTTGGAAAAATCAATTGCCTGCTGTGAAAATTGTTCCACAGGCAAAGACGATCGATACAAGACAGGAATACCCTGTGAGCCTCGATTTCCTTTCCATTAGCTCTCCAAGATTCGATCTCCACAATCCGCACACAATGATCTGTTTGAAATCAAAGAAAGCAACAAACAATAATGGTCTACAACAAAGGACTGACAACAAGATGCATTGATGCAGGTCTGATCATTGATGCATGTTGAACTATCAGGATTGTCATCATGAAGATCAAAGACGAGGTTGAGAGAATGAAATTTCCAATCATTCAGGAGAAGTGGGAAAAGAGAGAGAAGAAGACAAGGAATAGAGGACTAGTGGATAGGAGCGGGGAGGGCGGGGAAGGGGAGGGGGATAAAGGGGAAGGTACGAGTAGGAGCAGAGTATCCATGTTATGGTCAGCGAGAACAAAGAGTTCTCTACCTGACTTAGAGCATACATCGAATCCCTTGATGCAGAAGACGAAGAGACTTCGCACGCCGATAGACCCAAGAAGACAGCAAAGTGAAGTCTCCTGCTCGCTTGACCAGAATCTCTTTCTGTTCGGCATTCTCCCTCGTCAGTCTTGACATCCTTGGAGTTCTTCAAGTAGACTGGCTCGAGCTTCGCGATGTCAAACTTTCCTCTTGACAGGAGAAACAGCTGATGGATGGCGGGAGATAGCCTTAAGATGCTGAAGTCACTACCATCAACTCCTCCACGTCGAGCCAAACCTTCCATTGACAGCATGGCAGTTGAGAGCAAACAGAACCTTGGAGGTGAACTCCGCTGGGGTACTGCCACGTCATCAAAGCGTCAAGCAGCACCGCAAGTGGACCTGATCGCCCAAGATTGCATCCGAGGACAGTGATCGACTTCTCTTCGACCGCAGCCGCAAGGGCTTTCTGGCAGACAGTGAGAAAGCAAGGAACACAAGTTCTGTTGCTCACAAGCAAGAAACGCAAGTTCTGTTGCTCACCTGCTCGTTCACCGTCATGTCCCGGACAGTTCCTAGGACAAAGATGACGTGTCTAAACTTGTTGTCGACGTTTGTCTGGCCGAACACTGGTAGCTCATGCGGATAGTCTTCGTGTAACAACACAACACAAGTATCCTGAGCCATGATCAGCCTCTGCTTGTCTCTTGCAAAAGTGTTCTCTCAGCACGCACCTCTGAACACCTCCCCAACAACTTTCGAAATCTTTTCCTTAGTCTGTCCGTATCATCTTTGAGTACCTCAAACTTGTCATCGCCGACTCCCTTGTAGTACTGCAGGCCATCCGTCCTGAAACGAGCCACTTCATCTCCTTCGCCCTCCAGCTCCTCCTCTTCCCTTACTCATTCGCTCCCAGACAAGCATCGCGCATCATCGACAAGAGCCTTCGCTCCGTCGGCACCTGAGCAAAAGACTTCAGCCTCAGTCTCCTCCTCTCTCCACTCACTCTGATCTTCCTCGTGACCTCTTTCCCGATCCTTAAGGCGCCCATATCGTCGAAGAGCAACACACACTCTTGTGTGTGCTCCCATCCCCTGAAAACTACGTCACCCTCTACAGCCCTTCTGCCTTTCCTCCTCCTTCTCCTTCCTGTCTTGCCCACCCTTCGTTTTACTTTCCATTTCCGCTCGCCTTCATGTTTTCTTCCTCTTCCCAACCAAACTGTCCCTTCCCCACCCTTCTTCTTCTCAGACAAGCTGTCTCTTCTCTTTTCCTGCTCCCTCTCCTCGTTCCACCGTGTACCTTGCTTCCTCCCGCCACATTGACGCAGCAACAGAGCGGCACAGAGCGTCTCTACGACCCCACCTGTCAGACTTTCATACAAGAACTGGGCAAGAGGTGAGGAGAACCATTGCGAGTCGTCTTTGTCTGGCTTGAAGCTTGCGGCCTTGCACTGTCCCTCGCAGAGCAGGAAGAACGAGACCTTGATCGCACTGCAAGAGACGCCTTCCTCCTCCTGATTAGAAGGAGAGACAGAAGCCATCTCCGGGTGCCTTATCTGGTCAGTGTGAGCCTCCTCCACCTGTTGCAGGCAAAATCTGAAGATCTGCTTGAACATGGCTGCACGAGAACCGTCCTTGCAGCAGACCATCATCAAGTCTTTCACTAGACTCTTTCCCGCAGCCGTTGAGAGCAGCTTGTGAAGGGCCTTGTAAGTACCTTCTGAAACGTCTTCACCGTTGGCGTCTGCCTTGACAGCTAGAAGATTCTCTACATACTTATCTTGCCAACCATCTTGCTGTCCTGATGTCATGGCGGAGAGGAGAGGCCGAAGAAAGAGAGATCCAACATCATCGTCAGCATGTTCTAGCAAGCCACCATTCAGACATTCCAGCGTTCGTCTGCATATCTCCTCGAACAAACTCTCAAGGCTTCGGCTGATCCTTTCGCGCGATCCTGCCTCTGCTACCTTGCACTCGCCACTACCACGTAGACTGCACGAGAGCTCCAGCATTGCGCATGCAACTCGAAGCGCCCGTCGCTCTGAGAGCAGCCCCCGCCATTCCTCCCCCGCCACTACCTGCCGCACCTGCTCGACTACGGGTGCGTATGGAGACGTTGCAACCTTGCCGGACTTGATCCTGCTGGAAACGAGCTGGAAGCAGCCCACGAGGACCTCTACACCAGTGGGATGATGGGCCAATCCAGCCATCCCCTCCATCACACACCCCAGCACACCACAAAGCTCCTCCTGCGCTCCCATGCACGTGAGCACCTTCAGGATCAAAGGAGCGAATCGCTGCTCCCGCATTAGCGAATGGCAGACCTCCTTCCCCTTCAGCCATCCTGCTGCTTCTTCCGCCAGTTTCATCCTTGCAGCAGCCCACCCCATGGAAGGACGTGTTGAAGAGACAGGAGGGCGAAGGGCAAGGATTGAGGCCTCATGCCTCTTGAAGAATGACCGGGCGGACACCAGTCGATCCCCGACAGTCCCAGCCCCTTCGCTTATTGTTCCTCCTATTCCTTGTTTACTCGCTGAGTCAGCCCTTTCCTCTCTTCTCTCTCCCTCTTCCTTCTGTCTCATCGCGAAGTCACCCCGACCCCTCTTGACATATTTGCCCTCCCCCTCCCCCTCCCCCTCCCCTTCCTTCCTCCTTTTCCGCTCGCCGGCCATGACCGGCCGCAACGATGAACTTTCTATTTTTAGACCACAATCAATTTTAAAATGTTTTAGTTATTCCTCCAAAACATCCATCAGGACCCTCTACCCTCTCAGTTGTCAAATCACCGGTACTAAGAACCTCAATTTGTACTCAATATACCCGGTACCATGAGTACCCTACCCTTAAAATACATTACTTTTGATCGAGGATGCTGTCCACATGAGAATTCCAAAATCGAAAACATTTTTATTGCGCGACATGCTGAATTGCAAGGGAGGAGGAAGGCGAGGAGAATCGTGAGAGAGAGGAGAGGAGAGGAGAGGAGAGGAGGAGAGATTCAGTTTAGAAATGTGAATATGAGGAGTGGGCTCAGCAGACGTCCAAGGATGATACAACAAGCGTGACTCGAGACACTCGTCTTGCTTAGATCCTCCAGCGCAAAGTTGTTTAGCGAAGCTGAGTTTCAAGATGATCTGAACAGGAGTGATGAAAACTGTTGCATTCAAAGATGCAGAACTATTGCCACAACGTTTTCTCTTCATAGTCGAACTAGTTCTTGTTTTCCCGTAGATTGTCTGCTACCGTATACTCATTTCACACTGCAGTTTTGATGAGACCATGTCTACCCTCCCATGGAACGCTTGGAACCCATTCAACAAATCTGAAGACAAGAAGAGTCGACCTGGAGGATCGTTCGGATGCGATCTCTCTATTGACGTGAACGATGGCTCCGTGTTTGTCGCAAGGATAGCCCTACTTGGCCCAGCTGCAATCAGCGGGCAGCTGGCGGTGGGGGATTTTATCACTAAGATCGATGGGAAGCAGCTGGACAGAGGGAGCTCGGACGGCGAGTCTCTGCAGTCTCTGACGGAAGGGGAGGCAGGAGCACCCATATGGCTGGAGGTGAGAGACAAGGATGGCAAGTTTGCAGCCACGACTCGGCTGGTCCGGCAGGGGCCATTGGACGACAAGGAGTGGAACTGGTCGAAGCTCAAGGAGATTTCTCCCTTCTCCTCCAAGACTGACTTCACAAAACTGCCTGCCCTAGGATACGCCAACGTGCTCGAGCTCGGGGTGGTGCTGAAGCTCAACGACGCGGGGAACGTCAGCGTGTCAGAGATCATAGAGGGAGGGGCGGCATGGCTGGCGTCGCAGCAGCAGGCAGGCGGGATGCCTCCCATTGGCATCGGAGATGCGATCATAGAGATCGATGAGAAGCCTCTGCCGAAGAAGACGGTCGCATGCGCAGCTGAGATGCTGAAAGGACGAGAGTTCTCGCGGGTGAAGCTGAAGATCCTAAGAGAAGGAGGAGAGCAGGAGGTGATGGGAGGTCCTTCAGGCTCGTTGTCCTGTTATCTGATGTCTGTGCAGATCTTTCTTGTCCGCATAACTCCGATCAAGCAGAATCACTTGGAGAATGTCATCAAGTTTCAGAACACTATCTCCAACCTTCCTCCCATCCCTCCCTCTGAACGTGTCAGGTAGCCCTGGCCTCTCCCGCGCATGCCGGTGTTGACTTGTGCGGCAGTCGGAGGAAGGGAACATCGTCTAAGGTAGCCCCCTCCATCTACGGTCAGTAGAGGAGGAGGCTTGAGGGTTGGGGGGGGTCGTCAGGACGCTTGAACAGGATCCTGACTGGTTCACAGGAATCCGACAGACAGGAGCAGCGAAAGAAGGAGAGAAGCTAGATGTAAACAAGGCAGCGGCTATAGGTATGCATGGGAACGAGGAATCGATGGGGACTGCAAGAGGGGAGAGAAGAGGAGAGGAAAAAAGGGGGCGAGGGGCAAGTGTCAGGCATGGTCTTACCCCACTGACTTGCTGTAGCCTGCAAGGCGATGCATTCCTGCGAGGGAGGTCTGAACCAAGTCAAGGAGAGCATGTCACCCTCTGACGCTGCCAGCTCCTCTGAGACGGAGCTGCCGGAAGTGGAGCTGCCTCAGAAGCTTACGCAGCAAGAGATGTTTGACATGGAGATCGACATGGACGATGAGCTTCGCCTTCTCTCTGCCTCTTTGTGTTGTGCCCTGCTCAGACAAGGCAGGCTGGCCAAGGTAAAGGATGAAGACGCGAAACGCTCTTCCAAGAGCTCCTGGTTGCCGAGCCTGGGCTACGGGAGCAAATGGATGGGCCCGTTGAAAAGTGGAGAGGAGAAGTTGAAGAATGAGGGGAAGGGAGGGGAAGGCAGCAAGGAGAAGGACGAGGATGAGGAGTGGATTGAGGGGTTCAGCCTCCAGCTCTGTCAGAGGTTTCGAGTGTCAAAGGAGCGAAGAAACTCCGTCATTGCTATGAGCAGTTTCGACATGAACATTGAGAACTTGTCATCCTACCTTCAAGGTCTTTTCCTTTGTCTCCGTCTGTTTTTTCTTCTGTTCTGCTCTTTGAACGTCTGAGCAGAAAGAATTGAAGCTGCCAACAAGAAGATAATCGAGGTAGCAGTCGATGACAATGAGACTGTGGGCAAAGCGACAAGCAAGGCAGTGGAGGAAGACATCGAAGGAGCTCAAAGAGATGATGGTGATTATTTTTCTTGACTTTGGTTGAAAGAACGCTGATGAATAGACAGAAGCACAATGTCGGATAATGTCGAATGAGGAGCAGGACCAGGACCAGGACCAGGACCAGGACCAGGACCAGGACCAGGACCAGGACCAGGACCAGGACCAGGACCAGGACCAGGACCAGGACCAGGACCAGGACCAGGACCAGGAGCATGGTAATGATGAAGAACAGAAGGAGCATGGGTGGAGGCAAGAAGAGGACAGTGAGGGTATCGGAAGCAGCGATGAGGCTGAGTCTAAGAGTCTGGGACAAGTCTCAGACCTAGACCAACAACCTAAACCTCCTTCTTCTCCTCGTCCTGAGAGATTCCAAGACGCCGACGAGACTGTCGACACGAGAGGAAACGCGGAGGAAGTGAAGTTTCAAGCAGGAGGCCAAGTTGCCGCGGAGCGAGTGGAGGAGCCCTGGGTCTTGCAGGAGGATGAATTGTCTTGCCCAGCTCAGCCAGTCAAAGAGGGACTGGGAGGTCAAATGGAAGAGCCTGCTGCTTCTGCTTCTGCTTCTGCTTCTGCTTCTGCTTCTGCTTCTGCTTCTGCTTCTGCTTCTGCAGCTGCTTCTGCTTCTGCAGCTGCTTCTGCTTCTGCAGCTGCTTCTGCTTCTGCTTCCGCTTCTGTTTCTGCTACCGCTAAGGTCGCTGGCGAGGATGCTCCTGTGGCTGGCCCAATCTGTGCAAGGGACCTTGCGGTGAGCGAGGACGTGGTGAACTCGCCGGACTTGAGGTGGACGGTCTGCTGGTTGGCGCTGGCGACGACTGTGGGGACAGCGAGGTACGACGCTCGAGGACGCGGCATGCTGCGACGTCTGTGCAAAGAGCTGAAGGTGCCATGGAAGTGGGTAGCGTCGGCGGAGGTGGCATTCTTCGAGGAGATCATCAAAAGGGTCCTGCAGGCGTCCAAGAACCAGAAGCTCGCGGCGGACAAGGAGAAGGAGACAGCAGGAGGAACCAGCAGGTTGCGCCAGTGGGCCATCGTAGGAGGAGGAGCAGTGGTGGGAGGCGCCATCATCGGCCTCTCCGGCGGCCTCGCCGTCCCTGCGCTGGTCGCTGGTCTGGGGATGGCGGGGACGACGGTGGGGGTAGGAGCCCTTCACGTGGCGCTGAGCGCAGGGACGGTGTCAGGGATCTCAGCTGTGGTGGGGGTGAGTTTTGGTGGATACGGAGCTGGGCTGGTGGGCTCCAAGGTGGCGCGAAGGATCGGGGAGGTGAAGGAGTTCGAGTTTGACATCGTGGATGTCAGCCCGGGGCTGCCGATCGTGGTTGGGGTGACAGGGTGGCTGAACAACTCGGAGGACAACCCTTGGAAGGCGTGGGATGAGGCGCTCTGTAAAAACGTCAGTGACGGAGGTGATGCCCTAGCCCTGCGGTGGGAGACGAAGGAACAGCTCAACCTGGGAAACATCATGCAGAACTACCTCAAGTCAGAGGTCCTGCTCTTGCTGCCTTTCCCTCTGTCCGCCCGTCCGCCCCCCGCCCCCCTTTCCTTCCGCCCCCTTTCCTTCTCGGGTCTCTACTCTTCAATCTCACACACCCGAGCAGGTGAAGTCCTGGGCTGTACAAACAGCAGGCGACCTGGTGCTGGGCGCAGCCTTCGCTTCCCTCACGTGGCCCCGCAAGCTCATCAGCTGGTCGGGTTGGATTGACAACACGTGGGCTATGGTGCAGATCCGAGCAGACCAGGTGATCCAACTCAGCTGCTCCCCAGCTACAAGCTGACGCTTCTCAGGCAGGAGAGATGTTAGCGAATACGCTGATGAAGAGAGCACATGGCTATCGTCCGATCACGCTGGTTGGCTTCGGGATGGGTGCAAGGCTGATCTTCAAGTGCGACTCTTTCTTTGCACCTCTTTCTTTCTCACTACCATGCCCTTTCTTTGCTTGATCTACTTTGTGACTTCGATCTCGTCAGATGTCTTCTACACCTCGCAAAAAATGGAGCTCAAGGCCGCGGCATCGTCGAGACAGCTATCTGCTTGGGAACCCCCGACACCTCCAACCCTCAGGTCATTGCTTAGCTTCCCAGCTCTTTTCAGCTGACCTTGGGCTGAAGGATTGGGAGACGGCAGCGTCAGTTTGCGGCCACCGACTCGTCAATGGCTTCTGTCAGAATGACTGGGTGCTCGGTTTTATCTACAGGGCTGGACAGGTAGTGGACAGCTCGAAATAATCTACTGCTGACGATGGTGCAGCTGCTGAGGACGGTAGCTGGACTCCAGGCGATCCAGCCGGTGGAGGGGAAGGAGCTGCATCCTGCTCTTGAAAACCTTGACCTCACAGGAGCTGTGATGGGTCACTGGGACTACAGGTGAGAGCTAAAGCGGAGGAGAGCAAGATAGGTGGGGAGGGCAGGTGGCTGACGAGAGAGCAGGGACAAGCTGCCGGAGCTTGTCAGGATGTGCGGGTTGTCGACTGGTGTGAGTGACCCTCCTCCTCCTCCTGCTGAGCTCACAGACATCGCCACGTCTTTCCGCTCAGCAATGTCTGAGAAGATGGCATCGCTGAGGACCGTCGTGCCGTCGAGAGACAAGGAGGGCAAGGAGAAGGAGGGCAGCAAGGGCAAGGAGGCGAGATGATTGTAAGATGTAGCTCGTCGAAAGCTATCAAGCATAGAGAGATGGGAGAGCAAGGTGGCTGCTCGTGTCGCTGACCTCCACTAGCCGCCTCCCTCTGTCATGAGACAAGCAGTCTCGAGCTAGGCAGCCCCTTGCTCACTTCTGGTCTAGAGGAGCGCGCGCTACCCCCAGCTGACGTCTACCAGTCATGCTCGCTGTTGCCTCGCCAGACGGGAGAGGTGTCTCTCTTTGACCGATGAGCTGAGGGGGCCTTCTTGCTGGTGCTGTAGTTCCTCGTCGAGGCGCTCGAAGGAGCTTCGGCTGGCTCCTCCTGCAGACAGACATGAGAAAGAGAGGGAGAGGGCCGCGTGCTCACGTTGCTCAGCCTGAGGCCCTGGAACTCGAAGGAGCTGACTGCCGGCCCCTCATCATGGATGTGGCAGAGGCCAAGCAGCTTCTTCTTTCTCCGCACGATCTTGGCTATCGGCTTGTGCATTGAGAGACCCTGCAAGCTGCGTCACCGAGCATCCGCATCAGACGCGCACGGGCCCGACCGTCGGTGGTTTACATCCCGGGTCGAGCTCGTCATTGAGTGAGTACCCTGAAGCAGGTCGTTCTCGGACCTGTCCAGCAGCGTCAACGCTGTGCGAGGACGATCGCGAGGCCTCCTGACCCGTCGGTCTTTCGGAGGAGAGTCGTCCGAGGTGATGGACGACACTGCACGCTCAAGCCCTCTCCCGTAGGCGTTGCCTTAGCATCGCAATGTCAGCGACTGTCAACCAACCAACGTCCTGCTGCCCACCTGAGTTCCATCTCAACGGCGACTGACTCCTGCGGTCGTCGTCTACCAGGGCTTGCTTGTGCAGCTGCTGTTCCTCGACCTCCTCGACGCATCGGCCGAATTGATACTGGAGCAAGCGAGTCATGAGCGCCGCTGATACGGCAGTGGCTTGCTGAAGCAGCTGCTGACCTGTGGAAGCCGCAACGAGCGGCATATACTGTTGCACGTGTGTGTACTCAAGAAGCTGTCAAGAAGCGTCAAGACCTGTCCTGGCAAGGGGAGTAGGATACAAGACCTCTCTATCCCCTTCATGCCCAAGTTGCCCTGCACGACAGTCAACTGAGTGCAGCATGCGACATGCACGGACCTGCCCAAAGCTCTGGCCGTCCTGACTATGGATCTGACAAACCCCTCTGTCAATGTAAACCTACTCGGACCCGCTCACCCCACTTGCGGGTCGGTGTAGAAGTTTGCCACCCCTGACAAGACGGATCACCGTCGGACATGACACCCTAAGAGACCCACCTTGGATGTCGACGATCAGCAGCTGACCGTTGCTCGCTTCCCATCTTGCGACTGGATCAGCGGAGCTACCAACCCTCCTCACCCTCACGAGAAGTGGCTGAAGGCCTGTGGTAACTCATCCCCTGTCTCAACGTTTCCATCCTGACAAGCACAACGTCATGGTTGCACACGGCATGCCCGGACTACATTGTCGTTATGCTTGATGTAGTCGCCTTTCAGAAACGGCTCGACATTCACTAACTGACCTCCTCTGGCATCGGATCGACAAGCGTCAGCATCGAGCGTCACGTGGGCGACTATGTCACCTCTCTCGCAATTGGTAGACACTGACAGGTAGGAAGCAGACTTTCCTCTTCCTGCTTCTCTTGTTGAACTCAAGAGCGTAGCTGTCCGCAAGCATCTGGGTCTTGCACGGGACTCAGCCTGTCGCACCAGAGGCAAGGACGCATGTCACCATGGCTTCCTCGAAGTAGATCTCGGGTTTGACTTGCTTGGTGAACATCTTTGCAACCTTGTACACGTCGGTGAGCGGTTGATCCGGCACGTGCTCACATGGGATTGAGACGAGTTACCAGAACTCCTTCGATGGGCGGAGAGACTTGTACCATCTAGGATGACATCAAGTGATATCAGAAGCCTTGGGTCAATGCAAGGGACCTCTCACCTTGTAGCAAACCATCATCCTTCCTTGGATTAAGGGACTATGTGCGAGGGTAACCTACCGAGCACTCTCACACGCTTGAAGGAGGTTGACGGGGGCAGCTGCAATGGGAGTACCTGGACTTTTTCGCGTTTCCACTTGTCCTGTAGTTGGTCGTAGGTGTACTTGACAGCTATTTCGGGCTCCTCGTATCTCATTTGGATGGGTCTGCTAACACGATTAGAGGCGAGACTGCATAACAGGTCAATATGAAATGTTTTGTTTCTTGATTCTCTCTTTTTGCTCATTATTTGTGTTCTATCCTATTGATTGATCAGGCTGCATCACTGCTTCACCGTGTCGAGAGATCTCAGCAGATCAGTGACGTTCTCTGAGCATCTTGAAATGTTCTTGTTTCGAATCTCACTTAGAGTGGTCAACTCACAAACGTTGTGTTTCTGGTGGTTATTCGACAGGTGGGGTTGTTTCGAAAGTTCTTTGGGGTAGGGTTCTTTGGAGTCTAGTGAGCGGGTGAGGGTGTTGTTACGCGTCTTTGCGTGAGAGGTACCAAAGCGAGTCTTTTCGGAATCCTCATTGGAGTGGGTGGGGGTGGAGTCGATCCCTTCACAGTCAAACAAGTAGCCAGATGGGGTACAAGAAAGGGCAGGAGAGGGGTGGTAGGTAATGAGACTTATCGCTTACAAGGAGAGGGTGGCAGGCGTCACGGTTTCACTGCACGATTGCACCTATCTTGACCCTGACATGGTACGGATTTAAGCGACCCCTTCCATATTGCGACCTCTTGACGTAGTTTGCACCGCCACATCCTTTCCACCTGATGACCAATGAACATCAACAATAACTCACCGTTTGGAATCTCATCCACGGAGTCAAAGCGACTGCAGGCAAAACCCAAACAGAACCTTGCTTCCATGCCGACTGAGCTCCTCCTCATGCCCCCCAGCCTTGTCCCAGAAGGCAGCCTCGTCAAGAGAACGCTGGATGCGGAAGACTTTCGATTTCATGCGGTGAGGGAGGTGGCGTACAAGTACAGACAGGGCAAGGCGGCCAAGCAAGGAGAAATGAGGATGGTGTTCTCGGAGATTGGAAGCTTCAGCAAGGTGACCCGTGGGAGTCCGGGTGGCAGGAGTCCTAACGCACCGGTCAGGACTTGCAAGAGACGCTTGCGCAGGAGGCAAGAGGAGGCAAGACCGACAGGAGCGACCATCTCTCGAGTATCCTTGAAGACGTGCTTACCAACGACGAGGGGCTAGTAGCGAAGCCATACCTTGCGGTGAGAAACGCCGAGTGTGCTGGTCTCGTACGGCATGACAGGACAACAGTGGGCGAGCCGCGTACTCGGGGTACAGCACTTGTATGCCGCCTTCCAGGAGAGGATGGAAACGGAAAGACCACTGGCTGAGGTGAGAGCTCGGACCTACACGCTGATGGAAGGTGCTGACGCTGTGCAGGACGACGTGGACGAGGAGGAAAGCGACGTGGGAAAAAGGAAGAGGGAGAGCACGGGGATGGAGATGTGCTCGGAGGAGGAGGAGGAGGAGGAGGAGATGAGCTTAGCAGACATGATACAAGACTGGTGTAGGTCAGCAGCCACACACGCGCTCGGACCTCCTCTGCAAGGATAAATCGCATGAGGATGCCACAACAGGCTATCGAAAATGGGCCGCTCTGCCAAGCGTGAGATGTAGACTTCTAACAAACTTGACTACTACTACTATCGCATGAGTCCATTAGTCTCTGCATGAAGAAACCGATCGCAAATGGAGTCTTTGTGCTTGTCGCGCATGTAGATATCTTTCGTTGTGTTGGTATCTAATGATTGATTGTATGTAAAGTCGTCTATCAGTCGCTAGAACCTCCAGGGAGCGGTTGTTGGGTCATGACTGCGAGCAAAGCCCGAAACGATGGCTACCACAAGGCGCTCAAGCCCAGCTGACGGAGGACTGACTCTCTCATCCTTCTCTTGTATCTGCTCGTACGATACAGAAGAGTGGCGAGAAGAAGCAAGATGGCTGACGAGAGAGCAGGGACAAGCTGCCGGAGCTTGTCAGGATGTGTGGGTTGTCGACTGGTGTGAGTGACCCTCCTCCTCCTCCTGCTGAGCTCACAGACATCGCCACGTCTTTCCGCTCAGCAATGTCTGAGAAGATGGCATCGCTGAGGACCGTCGTGCCGTCGAGAGACAAGGAGGGCAAGGAGAAGGAGGGCAGCAAGGGCAAGGAGGCGAGATGATTGTAAGATGTAGCTCGTCGAAAGCTATCAAGCATAGAGAGATGGGAGAGAAAGGTGGCTGCTCGTGGCGCTGACCTCCCCTAGCCGCCTCCCTCTGTCATGAGACAAGCAGTCTCGAGCTAGGCAGCCCCTTGCTCACTTCTGGTCTAGAGGAGCGCGCGCTACCCCCAGCCGACGTCTACCAGTCATGCTCGCTGTTGCCTCGCCAGACGGGAGAGGTGTCTCTCTTTGACCGATGAGCTGAGGGGGCCTTCTTGCTGGTGCTGTAGTTCCTCGTCGAGGCGCTCGAAGGAGCTTCGGCTGGCTCCTCCTGCAGACAGACATGAGAAAGAGAGGGAGAGGGCCGCGGGCTCACGTTGCTCAGCCTGAGGCCCTGGAACTCGAAGGAGCTGACTGCCGGCCCCTCATCCAAGTCATCAAATGAGCTCATCAGCTTCTTCTTTCCTCCGGCATTCTTGGCTATCGGCTTGTGCATTGAGAGACCCTGCGAGCTGCGTCACCGAGCATCCGCATCAGACGCGCACGGGCCCGACCGTCGGTGGTTTACATCCCGGGTCGAGCTCGTCATTGAGTGAGTACCCTGAAGCAGGTCGTTCTCGGACCTGTCCAGCAGCGTCAACGCTGTGCGAGGACGATCGCGAGGCCTCCTGACCCGTCGGTCTTTCGGAGGAGAGTCGTCCGAGGTGATGGACGACACCGCACGCTCAAGCCCTCTCCCGTAGGCGTTGCCTTAACATCGCAATGTGAGCGACTGTCAACCAACCAACGTCCTGCTGCCCACCTGAGTTCCATCTCAACGGCGACTGACTCCTGCGGTCGTCGTCTACCAGGGCTTGCTTGTGCAGCTGCTGTTCCTCGACCTCCTCGACGCATCGGCCGAATTGATACTGGAGCAAGCGAGTCATGAGCGCCGCTAATACGGCAGTGGCTTGCCGAAGCAGCTGCTGACCTGTGGAAGCCGCAACGAGCGGCATATGCTGTTGCACGTGTGTGTACTCAAGAAGCTGTCAAGAAGCGTCAAGACCTGTCCTGGCAAGGGGAGTAGGATACAAGACCTCTCTATCCCCTTCATGCCCAAGTTGCCCTGCACGACAGTCAACTGAGTGCAGCATGCGACATGCACGGACCTGCCCAAAGCTCTGGCCGTCCTGACTATGGATCTGACAAAACGCTCTGTCAATGTGAACCTACTCGGACCCGTTCAACCCACTTGCGGGTCGGTGTAGAAGTTTGCCACCCCTGACAAGACGGATCACCGTCGGACATGACACCCTAACAGACCCACCTTGGATGTCGACGATCAGCAGCTGACCGTTGCTCGCTTCCCATCTTGCGACTGGATCAGCGGAGCTATCAACCCTCCTCACCCTCACGAGAAGTGGCTGAAGGCCTGTGGTAACTCATCCCCTGTCTCAACGTTTCCATCCTGACAAGCACAACGTCATGGTTGCACACGGCATGCCCGGACTACATTGTCGTTATGCTTGATGTAGTCGCCTTTCAGAAACGGCTCGACATTCACCAACTGACCTCCTCTGGCATCGGATCGACAAGCGTCAGCATCGAGCGTCACGTGGGCGACTATGTCACCTCTCTCGCAATTGGTAGACACTGACAGGTAGGAAGCAGACTTTCCTCTTCCTGCTTCTCTTGTTGAACTCAAGAGCGTAGCTGTCCGCAAGCATCTGGGTCTTGCACGGGACTCAGCCTGTCGCACCAGAGGCAAGGACGCATGTCACCATGGCTTCCTCGAAGTAGATCTCGGGTTTGACTTGCTTGGTGAACATCTTTGCAACCTTGTACACGTCGGTGAGCGGTTGATCCGGCACGTGCTCACATGGGATTGAGACGAGTTACCAGCACTCCTTCGATGGGCGGAGAGACTTGTACCATCTAGGATGACATCAAGTGATATCAGAAACCTTGGGTCAATGCAAGGGACCTCTCACCTTGTAGCAAACCCTCATCCCTCCTTGAGCAAAGGGTTTGTCAGCAAAAGTAACCTACCGAGCACTCTCACACGCTTGAAGGAGGTTGACGGGGGCAGCTGCAATGGGAGTACCTGGACTTTTTCGCGTTTCCACTTGTCCTGTAGTTGGTCGTAGGTGTACTTGACAGCTATTTCGGGTTCTTCGTTCATTATTTACTCTCGATGTTCAATATTGATTCTCAGCCATGAATTTCAAAGAAACGAGACTGCATAACAGGTTATGAAGGAATATGTGCAGCAGTCCTCTGAATCCAACTACTTCTTGCAATTCAACTTCCTCTCTCGATCCAATCAGCTTATAGTTCGGATTTCTTGTATCTGTTTTCACTTATAGTTCGGATTTCTTGTATCTTCAAATTCTTTTTCATTTCTTTTTCGGGCTTTTGTTTCGATTCTCGCTGATGCTAGCTTTTGATCAATCTTTTATGCACTTTGTCTTCCTATCTCCCATTTTCTCCTCGTCACTCTGCAGCACTTATCTCTTCATGCCTCTTCCTGCCTCTTCTCCCACTTTCTTCTTCTGTTCGCTTCTGTGACCGTCGGCATGATCCATCTCTCACCCACCCACCCCTCCAGTAATGCCCACAACCCCTCCTGTCGTACCCGATAACCCCTCTTTTTACCCCAAAGTACCCCCTTATTCTAAGTTGTACATTTTCCTCATTTGCATATGCACCCTCTCATTTTGATGCGACCCCGAGCACCACCCCTCACCCTACCCACCCTACCATCAAGTTTTCACAAGGGAGCCAAACCATGCCTCGGACCTGAGTCCAAATTTTGAAAGATGGTAGGTAAGATATTGGGATAGTTTGAAATATTTTGTTCATATTTTGAAATTTGAGAGCAGGGGCGGCAATCGGAGAGTAGCTGGATGTTGCAGAGGTACGTGCCTGCAGGGGTGGGAGTAGGGTGGGTGGATGCGAGTGTAAGAGTGAACCCTCGGGAGGGGAGCGATGTCTTACAGGGAACGGAACATGCGGCAAGAGAAGCGAGGAGTAGAGGAGTGATAGCAGACGTTTGATGCGGAGGATTCCTTGGCTGACACAAACTTGAAAGAAGCATCAAGATCAAAGTTTAGTTCGTTAGCACTACATGATTCATCCATGTTGAAGAGCATTCAGTATTGATCGAAAATGAATAGAGAGCCGAAGGAGGGAGATAAGACTAAGGGATTTTGAATCCATATTACACTTGATATTCTTGCACTCGGTTGAATCTTCACACCACAGAAAATTGAATATCAGCGCAGATGGCCGGAAGCCTGCATAAATATCATTAATCGATTCAACATAATCTCATTGCCATAATTTCCGTTTTTGACGAATCAAGGAAGACAGTTTTCACGGTTTCGGGACCCGATCATCATTTTCATCATCATAGTCATATTTGTTACACTCAGGACAATCGTTGGTCGCCATCATTGTTATCATATTCATTTTCACTTCCTCGTCAAAATGTTTTTCTCTTTCATCACCGCTGTCGTCATCATCAATCATAATATTTCTATCTTCATCAGGGGTCCTTACAACAACAAAACACCTGCTTTACACGAAAAAATTGATATCACCGTCTAAATAAATAAAATGATCATTCGTCAACACGACAAGTTCATGTGTCATTGTCGTGGTCTTGACAAAATAAAACAAGAACAAGAACAAGAACAAGAACAAGAACAAGAACAAGAACAAGAACAAGAACAAGAACAAGAACAAGAACAAGAACAAGAACAAGAACAAGAACAAGAACAAGAACAAGAACAAGAACAACGACAGCACTAATAATGTTATCCTCTTATCATCAACATCATCAAGAATCATCATTATCGACATTGTCATCTGCACGTGCATCCTAAATTTCCCCGCTCTTCTCCAAGCAAGATCCCCTCACCCATCAGGTAGGCTTCCCGTGACTTTCACATCGTATCTGTCATGACATGTCAACGGGACTGCTCCAGCATTCTCATCCTCACCTTCCGTGCGGCGTGATGATGGGCATGTTGGTGGTACTCACCAGATTCACGGGCCCAGGGCTGAAAATCTCGAGCATCAGTTGGAAACCAGGATGAAACATAAGCGACCCGAAGGGACAGGAGTGCTCCTCGCAGATGCCGTTAGTCTGCTTGTGGACCTGAGAGATATGTGAGACAAGGATACGCGAGGGTCCATGGCTGACCATGATGCCTGCGAGATACACTTGAATGACGAACGTTCCGTCAGAGACTTGGTCGCCTGAAGAAGGCTTAGCAAACGCTGTTAGCGGAAAATCTCAAAAACTTGTCGAGCAGTCCAAAGAAAGCGTGAAGTTCTTGCCTGCCACCACCTGCACCAAAAGTGTCAATGAATGACAAGCTCTGCTCGAAATGATCTCCACTCTCACAGGATCTGGTGAAACTTTTACGTTGTTGACAGACAGGCTTGTTGCCCCCCCTCCTGAAATGATTATGGTCATGATGATGAATGTGTAAACGTCTTAGAAGTACCGCAATCTGACCAAGAACTGACGAATCCCAACAAGATTCATCTCAGCATGAAGAAAATCAAGCATCATCAGCATGTCACCTCGGGGCAACCGCGCTCGAGTTGGATAACTTGCCACGTCTGATCGGAATTGCTTTGATATAGAAATAAGAACCACGAAAAAAAAATAAAACTCATCAAACCTCCTGTCAGATACAGGTGAAGAAGAAGCACGCAAAAAGAAATCTTCATATGAGCTTCTGCAAGGATAGAGCAACTCAGATTATGTGCAGTGAACGATTTGGTCAATATTTTTATGGTCAAATTCCTTCTTGTACTTGCTCGTCGTGAATCACGAGCAAACTAGATGAAGGATGAAAAACGGGAAAGAAACAATTCAACTCATATCTCCTCCCCCTGCCCTGCTTTCCTTTCTGTCCGTCTATACTTGCGTACAACTAATCAATCCTCACCTAAACCCTCCTGCTCCAGCCCCCCCCTTCCTGCTCCTGTCTCCCTTTCTGCTCTTGCTTCCCTTACTGCTTTTGCTCTCCCTTCCTGCTCCTCTCTTCCACCAACGCCATATCTTCCCGCTTCACCCACACCGCCATCTCCACAAACTGGCTGGAAAGTTTTACTTAATTAATTGTGCTGTTCTTTAATAGCAAATTCCTTTGATGTCCTTGTGAACTTACATGAATCCATCTGAGGCCAGCTCGATTACCTGCGCCCAGGCTGTTGGCCCGGGGGCATCCAGGAGTCTTGTTGTTGGTCAAGTGTGCTAGTCGGGTACATGTGATCGAGGAAACTTTCCTCTTATTCTTCTAGTCTTTTAATAATGTTCACTATCTTTATACATTCATCGAGCCAGAGAAAGTTCGAACTCAGACATCAGCGCGATGTGGTCAGACGAGTACTGAGGGCTCGGAAGCGCAGTGTATGCCGTCAGCGTCTCATGATCGATCTGCTCTAGCACCCGCGTGACACGCAGCCGGTCAGCCGTGTGCCAGATGTAGTCGAGGATCCCGACAAAAGCAGCAGTGAAGTTTGAGTAGAAGTCTTTCCCGAACACAACGTAGCTGTCCCGCAGCTGCAGGTTGTGACGCAAGTCTGCGTTCTCAAGGATCCCCTGCGGATCCTCTTTGAGCTCCGCGTTGTTGCCGGAGATGATCCCTCGTTGAAGGAACTCGTACACTGCACTATCCTGCTGGGAGTTGAGGTCTCCGGTGAGGACTAGAGGAAGTTGCCGAGGTACTGTAAATTTCTGCAGCTCCTGCACGAGCGTCATGACCTGCCACATCTTCACGTTGGGAAAGCCTTGGTTCTGAAAGATGTGCGTCGTTGCGACACAGATTCGTCCCATGTGCCCTGCCGGTTGTCCGTTAACGAGAATCTCTAGCACGAGCACGAGCGCAACATTTCCCTTCAGCAAGCACTGCAGCGCTTTCTCGCTGAGCCCACTCTTCTGTCCTCCGACTCCCCTGGCTCTGGAAATGGCGACGTGGTTGAACTCAAGCGCATGCTTCTCGATCAGTGCGAACCGAGACTTGCGGAACAAGATGGCACAGCCGTCCATCTTGCCATCCTGACCCATGCTTTCTCTCGTCTTCTGTTTGTACACTCCCTGATACCCCGCATTGTCAAACTCTGGTTCCAAGAACTCTTTCCAATGATCCGCTTGCACTTCTTGAAGGGCTAAGATGTCTGCCTTGTAGCTCAGAATCTCTCGAAGCAAATTTCGCTTCCTGTAGTTCCAAGCGAGAGCCCAGGAAGGCGTGTAAGGATAGACCTGAGGAGACGCGTAGATGTCCGCTAAACAGTTGTACGTGAGAACTTTGAAAGTGGCTTTCGGTGAGCGAGGATCAAAGCTGTTGGGGGGCTGGGGGATCTCAATCATGCTCCTCGAGGGCGCTACAGGGGTTGCTTGCATCACTTCTGCAGACTCCACACTGACCGACTTTCCTGTTTCATCCGTGTACATCACAATTTCATCCTAGGCAGTCACCTCCTCACCTGTGTACAAGCCATTTTGACTGATGGGAATACATTCTAGCTTGAGGATTCGCCCCACATCTTGTTTTTGTGGAACATAAATGCGACTTTGTCCAATTTCCTTCAAGATGGCATTAGTCAACAGGAGTTCAACGTGACGGTTTATCTCCTCTCACCTGCCAAACATTCACAAAATCTCTGGATGGATCCTGTCGACGCGGCTTCGGTGCATCCACTCCTTCGCGCCTAGAGGATGAAAGAATGGACGCAAGGAACATTCAGAGATGCTGGAAGCATGCAGTCTCAGAACCTGTGCCTCTTGTGCATTGGCCAAGCTTTGAGAAACTCTTCCACCTTGTGGAACAGCAAACATTACGAAATGATTGAAACAACAAACACGTCAAAAACACGTCAAAGCCTCACCGAAGCAAAATAAGCATGTTCCTGTGTGTACTCTTGACCATCAATCTCGAAGGTCACATCAGGCAGCAAGCATTGCATTGTAGCCGGCTAATGGGAACACCAGTTAACCACACAGCAGGCAGGCAAAAGACAAGCGTCGCAACCTTTCCGGTTATTATACAGGTTTTCGGCCCATCCTACTCTTCAAGTTAGGGAAGAACAGAGATTTTGACGAGTGAGACCTGTGTATCCGATGATGCGGTGAATTCACATCGCGACCACTTGAACAGCACATTCTCATCATCATCAGTCACCTACAAGAAAACGTGACTTGGTACAATATCCTCTCGCCCTTGACCTGTCGATTTTGGCCATTAGCTAATTGTATCAAAACGTAGGGTTCAATTTCTACTCCCTCGATTGGCACGCTATCAGAGACAGCGATCAATCAAAATAAAGAAGTAGACGAGAGATTACTTGTGCAGTAACTCCGCTCGAACAACGATGGGAGGCTGATCCTGCAACATCTGAAACAGGGTCAATTTTCATGTGAGTTTGGATTGTGACTTGGCAGCTCTCCGATGTTGCTTGGTATACTTCTCCCATCTTCCCAGCATAGCAAAATTGTGCTAGTGCCTTCCGATAGCTACAAGATCTACTTTGAGCAAATATTATCCCCGATACTACACCGATACTTGTTTCATCTATTAGCGAGAGCCTTGCCTGATCGTTGCTCTCACTTGTGCCAGTAGACGTTAGCATCGATACACCGTCAAACAAGAACCATGATGGTCTATCATGATTCTCACACTTCCCTTCTGCTGCTCGCCTCATCCTCTCGCTCTCTCCTCCATTATTCCTGCTGTTCTAAAATTATTCCGCATGCACCGCTTTCGCATTCCACCCCCACCCCCTCTTTTCCATCACATCACCCCTACTGCGTACAGAGCAAATTCACCCTGAAACAATTTTCTCCACCCCTTCTATGAGTCATGAGAACCCCTTTGTTGCAGTACAACCATGTCCCACCATGTACCCCCTACCCTGCTCTCTACAGGTTCGCTTTTCATGCTGCCTCAGTAGGCGCAGCGACCGGCAGTGAAGAGGAGGGAGGGAAGGAGGAGGGAGACAGGGATAGAGGGACGCAAGAGCAGTGAATGGTTATCTTGACTAACAACTTTGCTCATTTTACAGGCATCTTGTCTAATCCGGTCGTCATGCTTTCCCGGGGTTGGGTCGGGCGCTCACGCTTCAGAAACACCTCTGCACCTTGCCGCTTTCTCTCAGCTGGCAACAAACCTCCTGGGGTTGCGATAGTGTCGGGAGGAAGCTCGGGCATCGGTCTGCGTGTGGTTCGCCGTCTCATGGAGGAAGGATGGCTAGTTCACAACATCTCGAGATCTGTTTGCCCCGTCCCAGGCATTCGCACGCACTCCTTCGATCTCACGTGTGTTGACGAGGCGCGAGGAGCTGCACGCTCCGTTGTTGAGACAATGGGTGGAGCAGAAAGCCGATCACGCGTATCCTTCATCCATTGCGCCTCAGTCTTTAGAGCAGACAGTATCAAAGCTTTCAACGTGAAGGACATGAGAGACTCGCTGAATATCAACGTCATCGCTCCTGGCGTGATCTTAGGTTGAGATATGCAGCTATCTTCAATCGTTATACCGTGTTCCTTGCTTGACAGATTCTATCCGACCCTTCATGAAGGAAGGCTCCTCGGTGATCCTTATCGGTTCGACGCTGTCCGAGAAGGCTGTAGCAGGTCGCTGCTCCTACATTACATCCAAGCATGCTACAGTCGGTTTGATGCGGAGCATCACGCAGGCAACGAGGGCATCATTGCGAGGCTCAGCTTTGTGATGCTTGCTACAGGACTTGTTCGGTAGCGGCATCCACACAGTCTGCGTCTGTCCTGGCTTCACAGACACCCCGATGCTGCAACGAGGTCTGCTCTGGACGGCAAAGGGATGGGTTTGACTTACTTGCAGAGATGAAGGATGAGGAGCAGGCGAAAAAATTCTTCAAGCAGTTCGTCTCGTTGGGGCGCATGTACGAATCTTTGTTCCCCTGCCCTTTTGTGAGAAAGTTTGCAGGATCAGTCCAGAAGAGGTCGCAGAGAGCATATTCCACGCTGTAAATATGCCTGCCCTGAACGGAAGCATTCTACATCTCAATGGAGGACAGAAGGAGACGTGAGGGGTGTTTCAAGCTTTGTGCCAATTTGATTCACTTCGATTCTCTTCATAAACATGTCGATGGTTTTCAGCTACTTCCATGTCGCCGATAAAACGGTGGTCTCTAAGTGTGAACCAAATCTCCAAAGACCTTTGTAAGATGGATGTCAGATCCTGCTGGGTCATTCTGTCAGTGTGCATCCAGCGTTCCTTCTGACCTGCACAGAAGGGGATTGTGTTACCTGGGTGGCTTCTGCTTGACTTGAAATCAACGCTCATCAACAGCAATGATATTATGAGGCAGCACTTCAGCAGAGTTCATCCCCCTGCAGGCCTTAGGATGCAGCACGAATAAAGCAGCGTCATACGCTGAGCATTCACGTATGCAACTCCGTTGTAGCTCAGCTGCTGTGCTTCCCAGTGCTCGAGGGACGGGCTCATGCTGCTGCAGAGACGCTCTAGGCTCTTTGAGCTCGCACCCTGAGCTCCCCTTGCCTCGGGGCTCCCACGTCGACGACACTCCTGCAAAACTCTTGCCAGGCTCCATCGACCTGCAGCGGGAGAGGAGGGAGGGGAGGCGGGCATTGCTGTGCTATGGTTTATGTTTATGTAGTCTGCTAGTATACACGCTATCGCTGCTATGTACATGTTTCTTGCTGTGCCTAGGCGCACACTCGGCCTCATGCTCACTGCAGCCCGACCCTCCTGTACTTGAAGGTCTCGCCGAAGTGAGGCAGCAGCAGCTTTCGCCGGTCGAAGCCATGCTGAGGGATACGGCCTTGGTATGTGCAGATGGTAGGGAGCAAGGAGACATCATGGTGCCTGTGAGGGATGTCGGCATCGTCCTCCGGGCTGTCGAGAAGCCATACCACAATCGCCTTGGCGTGCCCGTCAGCAGAGAGCGCTGCGATGCTTGCGACGAGGAGGAGGTAGAAGGGGACGAGGTGGGAGAGGGAAAGTAGGGATGAGACAGATGAACAGAGAGGGAGGAAAAAATCAGGGATCAGCAGGAGGGGGCAGTGCATCCAGGCGAGGGAGGGGACGGACTCGGGCGGCGGGTGGGGCTGTTTGGGGGGCAACAAGAGTAAATATTGCAGGGGTGCGAGGAGACGCTTGATCTCGAAGGATCGACGAGCGTTGCGTCCCTGGGAAAAGACTCTTGTTTCAATGGCTTCGACTGGGATCGAAGGCTCTAGAATGCGCTGAGCATTTTGTATATGTTACATCCCATCGAAAACATTTCTCTTCATGAGGGTCCACCAGCCAAGAAGTTATTCTTGTTTACCACTCGCGTCCCCCCCCAGCCCCTTTTCACCCTTTCCCCCAAGACCCTGCTCCCAAACTCTTCTCGGCCATGATAGCCTGCCCTCTTCTCCCTCCCTCCTCTCCCTCGACCCCCCCACCCTCCTCTCCCACCCTCCTGCCCCCCCAAGGCTCCCATCAGCAGCTCCTCTCTCTCGCTGCTGCTATCCGACTCATTCAGGACAAGCGCATCCTTACCACTGCGACAGGGGAGGAGCTGCGACTATGAGCGAGGAACCATCCATTACGCCGCCCACATGTCGCCACGGAAGCATCCACTCAGAGAGCCTGCGGGGCAAAGGCTGCCCAGCGTGCGCTTCTTCTTACCCTCCCTCCTTCCCTCCCTCCTTGCAGTCTCCGCCTCGCCTTCCCAGCGACTGCTGGACGAAGGCCCCCCCTCCGTCTGCCTGCCCTTGCTATTCTGACTCTTGCTCTTTCTTTCCCTCTCTTCCTGTCTGAGCTTGCGAGTGGTCGCAAGCACACAAGCCTCTCTGCACCTCGGGGGGCGGCCTCCCTCTCCCTCTCTCTCCGACAAGACTCGCACAAGCTCTACCAGTCACCTTCCTCGCCCCCGACAGGCCGGAGGGCAAGAGGAGACGGAACGCCTTAGTACCTGCTCCTGCCAAGCTGAGGCGCTGCTGAGTGCAGGAAGCAGCCTAGGTCCTGGGGATAGCGCCATGCATGTATGTTGACTAAAGAGACCTGTAAAGTAGCGTGTGGGATTGAGTATGATTGCGCGAGCTTCGGGTAGCCGGCACTGTCACAAGCTAAGGGGGGCGATGGGGAAGCCTTGCGCTGGTTTGATGGCCCGCACTGACTGAGTCTAGCTTGTGCGTCATAGAGGATCAAACTGTCATCGGGCCGCATCATCTGCACCATCGATGAGCGAGTAGAAGTAGACCTGGTTGAGGATCTACAAAAAGGCGGTTTCCTCCATCTCAGAAAACGTCGTCTAGCAGGAACCTTCGTGTCGTAAGACAAGCACGTGCTCGTGACATCTCCTGTAAGTAATCTTATTATCAAGCACATCCTCCCTGACTGCCAGCAGAGCATATATGCCCGCCCTCATACGCTGAGCATTCATGTATGCAACTCCGTTGTAGCTCAGCTGCTGTGCTTCCCAGTGCTCGAGGGACGGGCTCATGCTGCTGCAGAGACGCTCTAGGCTCTTTGAGCTCGCACCCTGAGCTCCCCTTGCCTCGGGGCTCCCACGTCGACGACACTCCTGCAAAACTCTTGCCAGGCTCCATCGACCTGCAGCGGAGAGGAGGGAGGGGAGGCGGGCATTGCTGTGCTATGGTTTATGTTTATGTAGTCTGCTAGTATACACGCTATCGCTGCTATGTACATGTTTCTTGCTGTGCCTAGGCGCACACTCGGCCTCATGCTCACTGCAGCCCGACCCTCCTGTACTTGAAGGTCTCGCCGAAGTGAGGCAGCAGCAGCTTTCGCCGGTCGAAGCCATGCTGAGGGATACGGCCTTGGTATGTGCAGATGGTAGGGAGCAAGGAGACATCATGGTGCCTGTGAGGGATGTCGGCATCGTCCTCCGGGCTGTCGAGAAGCCATACCACAATCGCCTTGGCGTGCCCGTCAGCAGAGAGCGCTGCGATGCTTGCGACGAGGAGGAGGTAGAAGGGGACGAGGTGGGAGAGGGAAAGTAGGGATGAGACAGATGAACAGAGAGGGAGGAAAAAATCAGGGATCAGCAGGAGGGGGCAGTGCATCCAGGCGAGGGAGGGGACGGACATCGGGCGGCGGGTGGGGCTGTTTGGGGGGCAACAAGAGTAAATATTGCAGGGGTGCGAGGAGACGCTTGATCTCGAAGGATCGACGAGCGTTGCGTCCCTGGGAAAAGACTCTTGTTTCAATGGCTTCGACTGGGATCGAAGGCTCTAGAATGCGCTGAGCATTTTGTATATGTTACATCCCATCGAAAACATTTCTCTTCATGAGGGTCCACCAGCCAAGAAGTTATTCTTGTTTACCACTCGCGTCCCCCCCCAGCCCCTTTTCACCCTTTCCCCCAAGACCCTGCTCCCAAACTCTTCTCGGCCATGATAGCCTGCCCTCTTCTCCCTCCCTCCTCTCCCTCGACCCCCCCACCCTCCTCTCCCACCCTCCTGCCCCCCCAAGGCTCCCATCAGCAGCTCCTCTCTCTCGCTGCTGCTATCCGACTCATTCAGGACAAGCGCATCCTTACCACTGCGACAGGGGAGGAGCTGCGACTATGAGCGAGGAACCATCCATTACGCCGCCCACATGTCGCCACGGAAGCATCCACTCAGAGAGCCTGCGGGGCAAAGGCTGCCCAGCGTGCGCTTCTTCTTACCCTCCCTCCTTCCCTCCCTCCTTGCAGTCTCCGCCTCGCCTTCCCAGCGACTGCTGGACGAAGGCCCCCCCTCCGTCTGCCTGCCCTTGCTATTCTGACTCTTGCTCTTTCTTTCCCTCTCTTCCTGTCTGAGCTTGCGAGTGGTCGCAAGCACACAAGCCTCTCTGCACCTCGGGGGGCGGCCTCCCTCTCCCTCTCTCTCCGACAAGACTCGCACAAGCTCTACCAGTCACCTTCCTCGCCCCCGACAGGCCGGAGGGCAAGAGGAGACGGAACGCCTTAGTACCTGCTCCTGCCAAGCTGAGGCGCTGCTGAGTGCAGGAAGCAGCCTAGGTCCTGGGGATAGCGCCATGCATGTATGTTGACTAAAGAGACCTGTAAAGTAGCGTGTGGGATTGAGTATGATTGCGCGAGCTTCGGGTAGCCGGCACTGTCACAAGCTAAGGGGGGCGATGGGGAAGCCTTGCGCTGGTTTGATGGCCCGCACTGACTGAGTCTAGCTTGTGCGTCATAGAGGATCAAACTGTCATCGGGCCGCATCATCTGCACCATCGATGAGCGAGTAGAAGTAGACCTGGTTGAGGATCTACAAAAAGGCGGTTTCCTCCATCTCAGAAAACGTCGTCTAGCAGGAACCTTCGTGTCGTAAGACAAGCACGTGCTCGTGACATCTCCTGTAAGTAATCTTATTATCAAGCACATCCTCCCTGACTGCCAGCAGAGCATATATGCCCGCCCTCATACGCTGAGCATTCATGTATGCAACTCCGTTGTAGCTCAGCTGCTGTGCTTCCCAGTGCTCGAGGGACGGGCTCATGCTGCTGCAGAGACGCTCTAGGCTCTTTGAGCTCGCACCCTGAGCTCCCCTTGCCTCGGGGCTCCCACGTCGACGACACTCCTGCAAAACTCTTGCCAGGCTCCATCGACCTGCAGCGGAGAGGAGGGAGGGGAGGCGGGCATTGCTGTGCTATGGTTTATGTTTATGTAGTCTGCTAGTATACACGCTATCGCTGCTATGTACATGTTTCTTGCTGTGCCTAGGCGCACACTCGGCCTCATGCTCACTGCAGCCCGACCCTCCTGTACTTGAAGGTCTCGCCGAAGTGAGGCAGCAGCAGCTTTCGCCGGTCGAAGCCATGCTGAGGGATACGGCCTTGGTATGTGCAGATGGTAGGGAGCAAGGAGACATCATGGTGCCTGTGAGGGATGTCGGCATCGTCCTCCGGGCTGTCGAGAAGCCATACCACAATCGCCTTGGCGTGCCCGTCAGCAGAGAGCGCTGCGATGCTTGCGACGAGGAGGAGGTAGAAGGGGACGAGGTGGGAGAGGGAAAGTAGGGATGAGACAGATGAACAGAGAGGGAGGAAAAAATCAGGGATCAGCAGGAGGGGGCAGTGCATCCAGGCGAGGGAGGGGACGGACTCGGGCGGCGGGTGGGGCTGTTTGGGGGGCAACAAGAGTAAATATTGCAGGGGTGCGAGGAGACGCTTGATCTCGAAGGATCGACGAGCGTTGCGTCCCTGGGAAAAGACTCTTGTTTCAATGGCTTCGACTGGGATCGATCATGGAAAGGGAATGGCATGAGAATTTCATGATGCTAAGGGTGGAAGACACGGAATGTGAAAGCATCAAGACAGCAGCAATCAAGCAACTGCTGGAGGTGCAACACATGCTATGGACGGCAAGAAGGGGAAGCGAGTCGACCTAGTCCGATGGGGGCAGGTGAGGGGGCAGGCGCGGCACAGGGGCAAGCCACCTATGGAGCACAGGCGGCAGGGAAGGAAAACAAGCCTAGCATCAAGGAGGCAGGCGCAGCTCATGGTCATGGAGGGAAGAGGTGGGCGACTGGGGGGGAAGGGCAGGACAGGCGCAGCTAATAGTCTTGGAGGGAAGGGGTGGGCGACTGGGGGGGGAAGGGACAGGACAGGCGCAGCTCATGGTCTTGGAGGGAAGAGGTGGGCGACTGGGGGGGGGAAGGGACAGGACAGGCGCTTTAGGGTTTAGACAGCAGAAGTAGAGAGTAGAAAGACGCCTCAGAAGCAGGGTTCGCATTGTAGGCCGTGTACCGTACTCCCAGTGCTCGAGCGCCTCTTTAGACTAGGATCAAATTGCATAAGCCCACAACGAGGCCGAGCAACATTCTAATAATAATAGGGTTTAGGGTTTAGGGTTTAGGGTTTAGGGTTTAGGGTTTAGGGTTTAGGGTTTAGGGTTTAGGGGGCCCCTGGAGAGGCATGCTGCTCTGCGGCGCGTAGGGAGAGCGCAAGGGGACCGGAGGAAGCTGCGAGCAAGAGGTTCGTATAGTTCAAACAGCTTTCTAAGCATGGTACTACAGTATGATGAGAGCGTTCGCAACCTGCTGTATCGGAGATCATGCCAATACACGCAGGGCGAGCGCTCTGGAGGCCACGTCGAAGAGGCCGCCGACCTCGTCGAGAGGGTGAAGAACTTCGCGAAGCGGTATCCTGGTAGTAGGACAGCTCATGCTTGCAGAGCTGAGGGGGGATGCACCCCCGACGCTATCGCAGAAGCCATCCGCTCGACATGTCGGCAGGCGAGACGCGACCTGTTTGAAGACTCTCTGAGGGAATGGAGCTCAGAGTCGAGAGCATGGTTTATTCAACAGATGGAGGAGGCCAAGAAGCAGAATGTCGAGACATACATCGGCACAGAAGGCACCGAGGGGACCTCCTTCATCTCCATGACTCTCCTGGGCATCTCCTCGATGTATGTTCGACAAGAAGAAAAGTTGAAATCGAAGCTTATGGAACTGGGTCTCATGGTAGACTCAGTCGATGGAGTCGACAAGGCCATCATGTGGAAAGCACCTTACAGACCTGAGATAGCACGAGCAGACGACATCTCAGTCACCGTCTCCTTCCTTCGGAATGAAGCAGCCATGGAGCTATGGGAAGGCAGGAGAGAATACTGCATAGACGGCAGATCGTTCAGAGCCACAGAGGTGAGCATTGCACATGACCGGTCCTTCAAGCTTCGAGCCAAGCGAGGACCTTGGGGCAAGGGAGGGAGCCTTGCCGAGCTATCACAGCTCTTAGCTCTTGGAGGAATGTCGACGGCCGACATAGCTCAGATATATCGATTTCAGCTGCTCTCGCAATCTCTTGCAACCGCAGAGGTACAACCACTTGCGGGCATGCTCGTGCAGGGTCCTGGGCAGAGAGGTCGCAAGGGGCCGAGCCCGAAGACGTATGTTGCTGTTGGGGCAAGTACTGGCACTCTCCAGCAAAAAGAGCTGGAGTGGGTGCTCAGCTCGCCTTCGACGGCAAGTTGCGAGCAGACCTTGGCCTCGTTCAGAGAGAGCCTTCAGCGAGGCGATGGAGGGGGTACATCTCACTCTCATCAGCGACGACGCCAAGCTCAGAGAGACGTTTGCAGTCGAGCTCACACTGTGGACACTGTTTAGCCGACACCTTCGTTCCTAGGGGAAAGATCGCTAAGCAAAGGAGGGCACTCCGCGAGAGAGATCATGCGGGGCGCAGCAGCTTCAGAGTACAGATCAAGTCGAGGTCAAGCATGAGCACAGGCCGCTTCTCGAGGAAGGAGATGGAAGCGCTGTGCGGAGGAGGTAACACATCGATCACGAGAGTCAAGCGAGCCATGTTGGAGTTAGCAAGAAGGATAGGCGTGACGCTGGTCAGCGTCGAGGTCGAGGAGGATCGTGACACGCTCAGCTGGGATGGGAGCCTGATAGCTCTCTCCCTGGCGACCAAGGCAGAGGCTCGACGCTTGATGGAAGACATGCCCTTCTACTTGGAAGGGATCCTGGAAGTCAAGCTCGAAGCGGTGGGGTTCAAGCTCAACGGGCCTCAGCATGAGGAGGAGAGGAGCCTGAGCAGCGAGGAGCAAGCCCAAGAGCCCCAAGGGCAGCAGCAAGGCGCTGGATGGCTGGAGCTCAGCGACATCGACAGGATCACCATGGAAGCAGCGTCGCCGTCAGGGCCAGTCGACCAACAGGTCTTGCTCGACCTCTCGACGATGCTCTTGGAGACATCAGAGGAGGAGCTGCTAGCTGGCAAGCCGATCTCGCTGGAGCTAGACAAGAGTGTTGGCAAGCTGCATGACACCTTCTGCTCGCCGGGCAACGTGGAGTTCATGACGCTCGGAGCTTGGGCAGCCACGCCGACGCTGGGATCGAAGCGAAACATGTTGAAGGAAAAGCTCAGAGCATACCTCGGCGAGCAGCGCTGGACACGGGTGCAAGGGAACAAGGCAGCGAGGAGGGGCAGCGCCTTCTCTCCAAGGGCAGCAGCGACTGATGCGCTCGAGCAGGAGGCTGAGAGCGATGACATCGAGAGTCGATCTGTAAGCCTCTTGTTTCTTGCGATCAGTAAATTTGCTGAGCACCATGGGTTGAGCTGCACGGGCAAGGTCGACAAGCAAGACCGACTGCGGCTGATGATGAGGGAGGAAGTGGACATGGAGGCTGAGGAGGGCGAGGGCGTGGAGGAGGAGGCCGGTGCAGGCCCCTCGCGCGCTTGAGGCTCGAGTCAAGTCTTAGAGGTGAACAAGAGGCGGAGCGGAGCTGTGGGCCCCAGGGGGGGAAGGAGGAAGAAATAAATGAGGTGGACATGGGGCAAGCAACGAAGGTAAGGGCAGGTAAGCCGGTGGGGGAGGGGGGAGGGGGGCCGGGGAGGAGGAGGCCGGGCGGAGGCCGGCTGGGCTCTCGGGCCCGGTCCGGACCGAGGCCCGGGGGAAGGGACGTGAGTCCCAGGGACCCATACGCATTCCACCTACCACCTTATCCCTCATTCACTCACTGGCCGAAGGCCGGCCGAGACCGCCAAGGTGTGTCGGAGCCGAGGAAGCAACACAAGTTGAAAGCACGGACGACCCAGGCCAAGGCAGGCGGAGGAAACTCCACTGGCTGAGGCCGGGGAAGACCACTGAAGTATATCAGAGGAGGGAGCAGAGCAGAAGCACGGCTGCCATAAGGGCCAGCCAAGTCGGGCCGAACTGCCAGGTCACGAGATCCCTGTTAGACTAGAATAGAGCAAGGTGATAACAAGCCATGCAACCTACCTAGCATTCTAATAAACTCAACTACTACTACTACTACTAGGGTTTAGGGTTTAGGGTTTAGGGTTTAGGGTTTAGGGTTTAGGGTTTAGGGTTTAGGGTTTAGGGTTTAGAGGCGCCGTTATTTTCGGCACCATGGCTCCTCGTCAGGTGTAGGGGAAGCCGCCAGGGCGCCAAGGAAGCTGCAAGCAAGAGGTTTGTATACTTCAAATAGCTTTCTAAGTATGGTTCTTCAGTATGATGAAAATGTTCGCAACCTGCTGTATCGGAGATCATGCCAATACACGCAGAGCGGACTTGTGGATGCCTCTGTCCTCGAAGCTGATCTCGTCGAGAGGGTGAAGAGCTTCGCGAAGCGTTATCCGAACAGCAGGACAGCCCAGGCTTGCAAGGCTGTGGAGGGATGCACCCCCGACGCTATCGCAGAAGCCATCCGCTCGACATGTCAGCAGGCACGACGTGAGTTTCTGCAAGAAGCGATGAATGGATGGAGTGACGCATCCAGAGAGTGGTTTATGCAGCAGATTGAAGAAGCCAAGAAGGAGAAGGTCGAGACATACACCGCCTCAGCAGGCAACGAGGTGACTTCCTTCATCTCCATGACTCTCCTGGGCATCTCCTCGGTGTATGTCAACCATGAAGAAAAGCTGAAGAAGAAATTTGAAGAGATCGGACTGATCGTAGACTCAGTGCAAGAGAGTAAAGCAATCATGTGGAAGGCTCCGTATAGACCCGAGATAGCGAGTGCTGAGGAGATCCCGGTGACTGTTTCCTTCCTCCGCAATGCACAAGCGGAGAAGCTCTGGCAGGGAAGAGAGGACTTCGCGATCGATGGTCGCAAGTTCACAGCTGTACATGTGAGCATCGTGCACGATCGATCTTTCAAGATTCGAGCCAAGAGAGGACCCTGGGGCAAAGGGGGCAGCTTGGCAGAGCTGACTCACCTGCTAACCTTGGGCGGCATGACAACGGCTGAGATAGCTGCCGTCTATCGCTATCAGCTGCTGCGCCAGTCCCTTGCAGCGGTCCAACTCCAGCCGCTGGCAGGCATGCTGGTCGCTGGGGCGCCAGGACAGCAAGTCCACAAAGGCTTAGGTCAGAAAGGCTTCATCGCTGTAGGGGCCAACGTCATCTGGAGACAGAGGGAGGTGGAGTGGATCGTCTCCTCGAGCTGCCCAGAGGCGAATGATACAGCATTTCGAGCTTTCCGAGAGAGCGAAGCGATGGAGGGAGTACACCTGACTCTGTTCAGCGAGGACCCGAAGATCAGAGAGGCGCTCGCAGTCGAGTTGACAGCCGATCGCTTTGTGTCCAGAAATAAGTTGAAGAAGGCATCAAGGATGCAGAAGAAGGCAGGCGGCAAGGACGGCAAGGAGATCAAGATCATCATCAAGTCGACGGCGGCATCTGGTCGCTTCACGAGGAAGGAGATGGAGGGGCTGTGCAACGGCGGCAACACGTCCATCGCAAGAGTCAAGAGAGTCTTGTTGGAGATCGCTAACAGGCTCGAGATCAACGTTGAAGGCATCGACATGGAGGAGGATTTGAACACCAAGTCCTGGAACGGGTCCAAGCTATGCATCCTCCTCGGCTCCACGGAGGATGCTCGATGCATGATGAAGGAGCTGCCCTTCTATCTCGAAGGCGCAGCAACCAAGCTCGAAGCAGTCGGCTTCGACAAGGAGCCTGACTCTGAGGCGGCTGGTCAGCGGGGCACCAGCGACGCAGCGCAGCGACAGGAGGAGAGCGAGGGAGAGTGGCTGGAGTTTACAGACCTGGAGAGGATCACAATGGAGGCAGCATCTCCGTCAAGCCAAGAGGACATGCAGCTCGTCAGCGAGCTGTCAGCAGTCATCGAAGATGCAGCTTCTTTGAACGAGGCGGGGACGAGCGAGCCGATCAAGCTGGTCCTGGACAAGGCCGTTGGCAACCTCCACGACACCTTCTACTCTCCGGGGAGCCTGGAGTTCATGTCGCTGGGAGAGTGGGCGAAGATGCCAGAGGAGCAGGGAGTTGGGCGCAACGTTCTCAAGGAGAAGCTGGGGAAGTGGCTGCAGAGCAAGCGCTGGACTCGCGTGCAAGGAGAGAGCAAGAAGGCAAGGAGGGGCAGCGCGTTCTCGCCACGGGCAACGGCAGCTGCTGAGCTTGAGCAGGAGGCGGAGAGCGACGACATAGAGCGTCGATCTCTTAGCTTCCTGTTCATAGCACTGAGTAAATTCGCAGAGATGCATGTGCTGGCCTGCTCGCTGAAGGTGGACAAGAAGGACCGACTGCGGGTGGAGATGAGGGAAGATGGCGAAGAAGAGGAAGACATGGAGGAAGAGCAAGGCGAGGGCGAGGAAGAAGACGGGGCGAGCCCGTACCGAGCTTGAGCTGAGCTCAAGGTAAGTAGAGAAGGTGGAGGCGACCGAAGGCCAAGGTGAGAAGAGGCAACTCTTCTGACTGAAGCTGAGGAAGCTGAATGGAGGAGGAGTAGGTGGCGACCGAAGGCCAAGGTGAGGAGAGGCAACTCTTCTGACTGAGGCTGAGGAAGCTGAATGGAGGTAGAGTAGGTGGCGACCGAAGGCCAAGGTGAGGAGAGGCAACTCTCCTGACTGAGGCTGAGGAAGCCAAGAGAAGACAGCAGAAGTAGAGAGTAGAAAGACGCCTCAGAAGCAGGGTGCCAAGTCGGGCCGAACTGCCAGGTCACGAGATCCCTGTTAGACTAGAAAAGGCAAGGTGATACCAAACCTTGAGATCCTTCCTAGCATTCTAATAAACTCGTTTAGGGTTTAGGGTTTAGGGTTTAGGGTTTAGGGTTTAGGAGGCCGCTGGAGTAACAGAGGCCGCTGGAGTAACAGAGGCCGCTGGAGTAACAGACATGCTCTCCTCCCCTGCAGTTTGAGGGGATCCCTGCGAGCTAGGGTGCTGAACAGGATATTTTTCTGTGCAGAAACGGTTGTTTGATCATGTGGTATCTATCCAAAGAGGAAAGGAAACAGATTGCTCGTGTCCGAGTTTCCCAGTTCCTAAACAAGGACACGACACCTTCAGCACCTTCGCTAGGAGAGCTGATCCGAAGATTGGAACACTTCGTCAGGCAGTACCCTCAGAGCAGGACAGGCAGAGCCTTGCAGTCCAAGGAAGTCTCGATGAACGCCTTAGCCGAAGCCATTCGACAGACCTGCAAACATGCTGAAGTCAGGAGCCAGGAGGATGCCATCAAAGAATGGGGGGAAGAAGGACAGTCGTGGTATGTCTCTGCATGGAACGCAGACAAACAGGAGGTACTAGACAAGAGTGCCTGCATCGATGCTTCAGGAGCGTCCCCCGAGAGTGGTAAACTGATTACCATGGCTATCCTCGGAGTTCCTACCCAGTACATAAAACAAGTTGAGGTACTGTGTGAGAAGTTGAAGGATCAAGGACTCTTGGTGCACGAGGAGCAGGGCAAGAAATGCATCTCGTGGAGAGCCCCGATCAAGAAAGATTTGATTCCGACAGTGGATGAAATCCCAGTCGTGGCAACACTCCAATTGAACGACGCAGCAGAACTGCTGTGGAAAGGACAGACGAACTTCAGGATCGACGGAAAGATGATCCGCGCGGTGAACGCGCATTCGAAGCATCCTTGCTCCTTCAAGATAAGGCCACAGAAGGATAAGCACTCTGGCAAGGCGGGGGCCCTAGCTGAGTTCTCTCACCTCCTCAAGATGAATGGCATGAACTCAGCTGGGATTACGGAGATCTATCGTCAACACCTGCTGCAACAAGGAATAGCTGTGTTGGAGGTGCAGCCGGAAGCGGGCATGCAGCTAGAGGTCAAGACGAAGAGGAGACCTCAAGGTCAGCCCAACAAACGCACTTTCGCAGCAGCCGGAGTGGACGAGATACGACAAGGAAGAGAGATCGATTGGATTGCGAGATGCTCTTCGACGGACGTCCTGAGCACCACGCTACGGATGTTTGAGGGAGACGACAGGAATGGAGGAGGCATACACCTCGGACTGATGTCGGAAGATGAAAAGATCCTCAAATGGTTCACTACTCAGGTTAGTGCAATCACCAGGGTAACGAGACAGCATCCAATTAGGTTGGACTTCTTGCCCGACGCGCTAGGAGCAGTACCACGAAGAGTGACCTATGAGGTACTGGTCAAGAGTAAAGCACAGAAGGGAAGGTTCACCAGAGAGGAAGCTGAACAGATCTGCGACGGGGAGGATCTCTCTATGGGCATGACAATTCGAGGACTGAGACGGATCGTGGCGAGCTGGAAGGAGTCAGCGGCTGAGCACATCGTCAAGATCTCCTCGAAAGAAGATGTCGAGACCAACAGCTGGAACGGTGAACATCTAGTGCTCAGCTTCTCAGAAAAAGAAACGGCGATTGACATCCTCAGGTCCTTTGCGCCATGGGACAGGGCAGGGAAACTTCTTCTCCTAGAGCCAGGCAGTGCCAACATCTGGGAAGCGATCGCTACAGAACCCCCTACAGAGCCTCTGTGGGCACAGGTAGATCTCGAACGGATCGAGAATGAGATCAACATCCCAGAACCAGAGGCAAACGTGGTCCTCGAAGACATCTACAAAGTTCTGGAGGAGACTGTCAACCAGGGACAGAGTGCAGAAAACCAAGCTTGCAAACTCAGGCTCGATGGAGCCATAGTCGGCCTGTACGACAGCTTGTCATCTCCTGGAAATGCATGTTTTCCGACGCTGAAGGAATGGGCGGAATCATCCTCGGCAACCCAGGACGACGACATGCAAGTTTTGAAGAGTAAGATTGCAAGAGTAAGCGAGCAGCATGCGTGGGAGACGGTAGCATCAAGAAGACGCCAGGGAGCCTTTGCAAAAGCAACAGGGAGAGGAGGGGAGAAACAACAAAAAGAATTTCGAACTGACTTGTTGTTTCTTGCCCTGAATAAATTAGTTCTCACAGCCACGCTAACCTACCAAGGCAGCGTAGGCTCGGGAGACGAAATTGAGTTTCTCTTGAGCAAGGCAGAGGAGGAGATGGGACTGGAGATGGAAGAGGAGAGTGGCAACCAAGAGGGAGAGGTTGCCTCTCAACTCTAAAACCGAATCATGACAGGAGGAGGAAGGGAGGAGGAAGGGGGGAGTGCCGGGAGTAGGCAAGGGGGGGAGAGGGAAACGGTTTCAAAGGAAACGCAACATGTAGATAGAACATTGTATTTTTTTGATTGGATCGAGGAGATCCCATGGTCAGACAAACGAGGCGACAAGGAATTTGGCATCACTGCCCTGAACAATCGAGGAGTAAGCGGATTTTTATGCGAGAACATGATCGAAGTTACTCTCAATGAGATGAGCAAGGCTCTTCAAGGAGGAAGAGCAATACATATGGTACGCAAAGGGAGAGCTCGTGAGGACCAGCAAACGCGGAACATCATCTTCTTGCCAAGGGTAATATCCAGTCTGCGAGACGAGGCGTCCCGCTTGAGAGTCGGGAACAGATTTCACCTCAGCAGTTTGAGAGATGAGCAACACACCTTCCTGTTCCCAACTATCATCCACAGCAACCACTGGATTCTAATTGCATTAAGATATGATCGGCGATGCGCGTACATATTGGACCCTCTCTGCGAGGACAGAACGAGCACAACGAGGGACCCACGAGGGATCGAGGGAGCGAGGAATCTTGCAACAACGGGGGAGCACGGAGCAAGAGAAATGGCTGAGCTGACAATCGGAGTGATCGAACACATCTTTGACGATCAGACCAACGCCCCATGGCAGGTAAAGTGGTGCTCAGCCTTCCAACAGGAAGATAACTTCAACTGCGGAGTGTTCGCTATCCTTCACACCCTACTGCTCTGCGAGACAAATCAAGACTGGCTAGCAACGATGGAAACGAGGACAAGACTAAGACCTCCGCAAGAATGGCTGATGCAAACCAGAACACAACTGATCGAAGCTCTCACCCATCTGGAGAAGATGGAGGAAACGGCCCAGGTAATTCTGCGATCTCTGCCGAAGGAGGCGAGGGTGCAAGAGAACTCGACATCGACGACAAAGCCGGAGGAGGAGGTACAGCCGAACGCAATCCAGCGGCTGATGACCTCGACGACAAAGCTTGAGGAGGAGGTACAGCCACACGCAATCCAGCGGCTGATGACCTCGACGACAAAGCTTGAGGAGGAGGTAATCCAGCGGCTGATGACCTCGACGACAAAGCTTGAGGAGGAGGTACAGCCGATCGCAATCCAGCGGCAAGCGACCCCCACGAAGCCCCAACCAAGACATCTGGGTGAGGAAATGGAGGAGAATGCACAATCAGGAGAGAAAACCTCCCAGAGAGGGAAGGAGCGGAGGGGGGAAAGGCAGGAGGAGCAAAGGGGCAATGATTGGGCGCAGATGCATCGAAAAAGCTCAGACCCAGGTTTCCTCATCTCACAAAATGTGAATGGTTGCAATCACTTTGTTCTCAAGCACATCCTCGCATACTTAATCCAGTCCTTCCAACCTGGGGTTGTGCTACTACAAGAGGTAAGGGTCTCGGCCCGCGACGAGAACAAATTAAGGAAGATGATCAAGGAGAACTGGGCCTGCTACAGAATCTTCCTGGGGCCTGCAAAGATCAATGCGAAGAAGGGGAAAGGAGACCTGAGGTTGGTAACGCTGGTACATGCGGCCCTGTCGCCGTCACCCTCCCCTGCCGCTCACCAGGCGTGCAACAAAGAAAAGAAATATCGAAACCGAGTGTTTTCGATCAAAGTCGGAACAGGGAAAAATTCTTTCTTAGTCACAAACCTCCATCAGGTACCTGCGGAAAATGCGATTCGAGAGCAAGGGGAACTGTGGGCAGAGCTGCTACACCTCGCTCTGGGAACGAGAGAGACACACATCATAGCCGGAGACTTTAATGCAGCAAGAACCAACACAACAACACCAATGCGGAGAGGATATTCCCCCTCATCTATCACCGCAAAAGCAGATGAGAGATTCGAGAAATTCCTGGCAGACCTTTCCGCACACCGTACACTCTCATATGAACAGATCAGCGAGACTGGGACAACATTTACCTTCTCAACATGGTACAAACAAGAACTGATAGAAGCCAAACTCGACGCAGTTCTCGCTATTCACCCCCCAAGTGACGAGGACAACTTTCCAAACATCTCCCTTCAATCGTGGACGGTCGACGGCTGTGTGATAGGGGGAGCAGTTGATCACAGAGCCCTGGTGGTGCAAGTACACACCAAGTTCACGTCCGAGGAGACGCAGCTAATCCCACGAGTAGAAGTGCATCAGATGAATTCACGACAGAAGAAGGGGGAAACCCCTAAAAGCAGATGGGTGCTGGATCGCGATTCGTGGGAGGAGAAGAAGATCGAATGGGCGCAACAACTAGATGCAAACATACGAGACATGCGAGCTAAGGCGCAAGAATGTAACATTTGTGAGATGCTCGCCAACTCTCTACCACTAAAGGAGGTAAAAATCAGAAAGGGAGGGAGGCGACATTCGAACAAAGAACAAATGGATTTGAAGAGATCGATCCGCAACTTGCGGACTAAACTTAGGGAAGCATCACAGCAAAGCCCAGCGACTGGTGTACCTACGGAAGCTACATTACAAAGAGAATTGCGAACTAAGATCGAGAGGTTCAGAACGATATGTGAAGAACAAAACAACGAAGTTTTCCAAGAGATCTGCCAACAGCAGCAAACACGGCTAGGCACGGTAGGCAGCCGTGAATCCCAGAATGCAATGGGACGCAAGAATGATTTCATTCCCAAAGAACCGATGATAAGTCAAGACAT